CCCTGACAGGAAACACAACAGAGAGTCCCTGATGGAGCAGGAGAAAAGTGGGGTGCAGAACTCAAATTCTAGTAAAAAGACCAGACTTAATGGTCTGAGACTGGAGGAACCCTAGAAAGTGTGGCCCCCGGACTCCCTGTCAACCCAGAACTAAAACCATTCCCAAGGCCAACTCTTCAGACAAAGATAAGACTGGACTATGGGACATAAAAGGATACTCGTGAAGAGTGTGCTTCTTAGCTCAAGTAGATACATGAGCCTAAACGGACAGCTCCTGCCCAGAGGTGACAATGAGAAGGCAGAGAGGGTCAGGAGCTGGTTGAATGGACATGGGAAATCAGGGGTGGAAAGGAGGAGTGTGCTGTTGTCATGGATTGAACTGTGTCCCCCAAAACATCTGTCAACTTGGCTGGGTCATGATTCCCAGTATTGTATGATTGTGTACCATTTTGTAATGTGGTGTGATTTTTTTATGTGTTGTAAACTCTATCACTATGATGTAATAAGATGGATTAGCGGCAGTTATGTTGATGAGGTCTACAAGTTAGATAGTGTCTTAAGCCAATCTCTTTTGAGATATAAAATTGAGAAGTGAGCAGAGACACATGGGAACCTCACACCACCAAGAAAGCAGCACTGGGAGCAGAGCGCAATCTTTGGACCCGGGGCCCCTGGGCCTGAGAAGTTCTTTGACCAGGAAGACTGATGACAAGGACCCTCCTCCAGAGCCGACAAAGAGAGAAAGCCTTCCCCTGGAGCTGATGGCCCTGAATTTGGACTTGTAACCTACTAGACTGTGAGAGAATAAATTTCTCTTTGTTAAGGCCAGCCACTTATGGTATTTCTGTGATAGCAGCACTAGATGACTAAGACAGCTGTCATAGTATGGGAAGAGCAATTAGGGTCATGTAACAATCTATGTATAAATTTTTGTATGAGAGACTAACTTGAATTGTAAACGTTCACTTAAAGTACAACAATAAAATAAAAAATAAGAAAAAGAAATGGGTGTTGGTCTGCACATACCTAGAAGAGAAGGCTGACATTGCTGCAGTACCAAGTTTGGTTCTGGAGGCACAGGTACTTCTTCAGAAACATACTTTGAAAGCTCTTTCCCAAGGTATGTTACCTGCACATAATTAAGCACAAAATTAAAAAATTCACACATTCTATAAGAGGAAAATACATCTATCTACTGTACATTATAATTTCTTTAAAGTACTCATTGTTGTATATCATGGGTTGATACAGCCTATTACCAAATTTGGCCTGCCATCTTTTTTTTGTAAAGGAACTGGAACATAACAATACTCATTCATTTCTTAATATCTGTTGCTGCTTTTGTGCTACAACAAATTGAGTCCTTACAACAGAGACCATATGCCCACCAAAACAAACAAACTCATTGCCATTGAGTCAATTCTGACTCATAGTGACCCTATAGAACAGAGTACAACTGCCTCATAGGGTTTCCAAGGTTATAAATCTTTACAGAAGTAGACTGCTACAACTTTCTCCTTCGGAGCGGCTGGTGGGTTCAAACTGCTGACCTTTCAGTTAGCAGCTGAGTGCTTTAACTACTGTGCCAACAAGGCTCCTCACAAAGCCTAAAATATTTACTATCTGGCTCTTTAACAGAAAAAAATTGGTTGACCCCTGTTGTATATCATTAATTCTTTCATCCATTCACTTATTCAACAACCATTAATCCAGCACCTGCTACTTTATAACATTAAAAAAAATTAATGTTGCATTAATAAAATTACGCCATAAAAGTAATAGTAATTTTGAAAAAGTTCAGATGCTTAACTGATTAAGTTAATAACATTTCAGGTCTATACATCCAAAATTTGATTTTGTGCTTTGCTGCCCATTTATATGTGAACTCAGACATTATCTATCAGCCCAAAGGATCAGAGCTTAGAAATATCTACACATGAATGGGCTGGGCTGAGGCAGACTGGCAAACAACTGCCAGAAATATGCTGGACTCAAGGATCTTTGGTTTCTTCACTCTTAATTCTAGGGCAATTTGATAATATACCCCAAAGGTTAGTTCACTGTAGGAAAACCATCAAGTATTAACTCAAACAGTACCTCCTCCACGATGCTGTTGTTGTTGTGTGCCACTGAGTCAATTCCAACTCATAACGACCCTATAGGACAGAGTAGAACTGCATCTTCCCGTAAGCTATAAGCTCAAGTACTGACTCTCCTCTAGGCTCCCATAACTTCGGCACCCATACTTCTGTTATAGCCCATACTTTATCACATTTAAATGAAAATTATGTGTTAATGTGTCTGTTTCTATTAGACTATTAACTTCTTGAGGACAGGATCTGTGTCATATTCATTTTTATACCCTCACTTCACATAGTGCCTGACAATACTAGTTCAAAGACTCTGAATTTCCAGCTTTTAAGCAAGATTCTTAAATTCTGAGTCCCAGTTTATGCTTTTGTAAAACAAACAAAATAACACAAAACAAAACAAAAAAACTTTAAGTTGTTGAAGGATTTAAAGAGACAATGCATGAAAAGCATTTGGCATACTTCCTAGTACATCCGAGTGCTCAATAAATGTTTGTTAAATTGAACAGAATAAGGAAGGCCTACGGGATCTGGGAGGTATAAGTATACTTTGGGTTCAATTTCATAACCAAACAAAGCCTGGTAATGGAAATGGAGAAGATCTGGCCCACCCAGTGTGCTAACTTCTCCTCACTAGCCTTGGAAGAAGAAGAGGAGAGGCCCAAGAATGCCATTTGTCAGTTCTACAAACAACCAATAGTTAAAAACAATAGATTTTTCTTTTCCTGTTATGCCATGACAGGAGTCCCTGGGTGGCACAAATGGTTAGATGCTCGATTATTAACCGAAAAGTTGGCAGTTCAAATCCACTCAGAAGAACCTTGGAAGAAAGGCCTGGTGATTTGCTTCCCACAGGTCACAGCCTTGAAAACCCTATGGAGAGCAGCCCTACTTTGACATGGGGTCACCATGAGTGGGAATCTACTTGATGACAACTGCTACTTGTATGCTCTAACAATGTCCAGTACATCTCACACACTCATCAAACTGCAGGCTCAGTCTGTTTGTACCTATATCTCAGATTTAAAGTGTATTTTTATCAGTTAGTTATTAGGGTAACATTAGGTGGTAAACTTGTACCTTAGTAGCCTTAGAAGTTACGAGTCCCTATAGGTGTTAAACATACCACTGGCGATAATTCAGACATACAAAGAATACAGCTTTAAGACAATGCACTGAGTTAAAATTTTCCACAAGGTAGGAGTGATTTATTGAACAAGAATAATGAATGAACAGGTACGAGGTCACATCTGGAAATTGTGTATTTCATAATAGTGACTGTGCTCCAGAGCCTAAGGGCAAACAGTCATCATGTTCACATATAACTCAAACTCTGAATCCTGAACCAGATCTTGTTGGGTCCAAATCTAGCTCATGTGCTTGCTCTGAAAGACGTACATGGGAAAAGCTGGAGGCTAGTTTCTTAGGGTCTTGGAGTACACAGTCTCCAGCAATCTCTGGTTGCCATCCAAAACCCATTTTGATGAAAGACAGCCAGTAGAACTCCATCTTCCCCTAGATGAGAGCAAGTAAAAGAGATGGAGCTTAGGGTAAAAATGTGTTCTGTGAGGATATCTGCAGGTTGTTGTGCTGTTGCTTTTATAAAAGGTGAGGACTGTAGGAGTGCTATCCTAAGGCCACTGATGTTTTCTTTCCCTGAAGCTCTTAAAGCAGAAGGACCATTATTCCTCAGAAATCAGTCTATGCTGATTCCCTAATATTATGTATCATACTTAGGGAAGAAGTGGTATGTGTGTGTGTGTTTAGGTGGAATAAGAAGCAAGGAAGCGAGCTGGAATGCATGATTTAGCCACCACTATTCTGGAAATAGAGTTAATGAGGTAAATGAAATTATCAACTTTTTTTTTTAGTAAGGTCTCTGAAAAAATACAGTATCAACTGTCACTATTAATTGCAGTAGCCAGTGTTTCTCCACACCTTATGTACTAACATATAAAATATAAAACATAACCTGCCTCTGAATATTAAAGAAGTGTCTAAGAATTTATTTCCCTGTAGGGGCTCCATTTTACTTGAAACTATCAGTCCAAATGGTATGTCTTCAAAAAAACCATTTGTTGGTACTGACTAATGGGAATCTGTTCATGGGTGATTCAATGACTGTTTTAACTCCAATTCGAGTTTTAAGAACCAAGTCTTACAAATTTTCACTACCCTGGGAGGAAAAAAGAGGAAAGAATAATTGTTTTTGATCTCAGGGAGGAAAAAAAAAAAAAAGCCAAACAAACAAAAGGAAATTGTAGGTTTTCTTTTAAGTGTATTTTAACACAGAAAGACATTTTTGGCTAAGAAAATAAAAATATTTCTCAAATGAAATATTTCTCTAGGAATTCAGAAGACAAGACAGAAAGTGGTATGGAAGTACACTAACTGCCTTGGAAGAGATGGTTCCTAGGAGAAGTGAAGTTCATCTTCATCAGTACCCACCTCCTCCCAATCCCCACCCTGGAAGATCACTTGCTATGCGGTTCCAGACAAGAGACAGCAGTAAGCCTTTCACATTATTTGTGAAGGCTAGATGATACTGTATGCTCTTTGAGTTCAGGTAACCTCTGTTTCCAATGAAGGAATGTTGGCCTCCCTTGAGCCATTATTTTAAATGCAGAAAAGAACATATAGAGAAAATATTAGAAGATAAGGTTCTAGTCCTGATTGTATCTTAGTGGCACTTATCATTATACTAATCAGGTCACTTAACCTCCCATAACTGTTTTTACATCCATAAATAGGGTTAACCTTCCCACTTTATGGAGTTGTGAAAGAATATTTGGAAAAGTGCTTTATAAACCACATAGTACTATGCAAGTCTTAGAATCTCCAAGTTGGGGGAGTCTTTAGAGACTATTCAGTACTACTCCTTATTTTATATACAAGAAAATTGAGATTCTAAAAGGTTAAATGACTTCACCTAGATCAGTGGTTCTCAGGCCAGGCTGCAATTAGAATCATCTAGGAAGCTTTTTAAAATACTGCCACTTGGTTCCAACCTGGACTATTAGCTTAAAATTTATAGGCCTGGCATTCACCAGGCATTGGTAGTTTTTTAAAGCTCCCCAAGTGATTCTAACACGTGTCCAGGATGGAAAGCAGCTGACCAGATCATGTGACTTATCATGAGCAGAACCAGGACTAGAGGCCTGGTCTCCTGTCCCTGAACCCAGGCCTCACTCTGCTACATCAGGATGATGCCTCACAGCTGGGAAGCTGTGGCAGCCAGAGGAGTTTGTGATGCCCGCTGGGACTAAGTAAGCATCAGGGTTTCCTTAGTAAAGCTGTGCAGCAGCCTAACTGCTGGGTAGGAGGCATGAGTCATCTGTCTAGTGACTCGGACTGATGCAGAGCAAGTCCTCGTTTTCTGGCATTTCTTGCGTGACAACTACCCACCCCAGGCCTCATATCCCCACCACCATCCTCTGAACTTGTAAGAATGTTCGTATTTACCAATGTAGCAAAAAGCTCCCTTCATCAAGAAGTGACTGTGAATTCAGAAGTCACCCCAGGACAAGAGGAGGCAGAGGTTTCTGTGGTAAACTTTAAAACAGAAGACTTTAAAAGAGGTTTTTAAATATTGTAAAGAAACTCACTGGGGCTGTGTTTCTCAGTCTAGGGTATTTACTAGAAGTATGTGAATGTACCTTAGTAATTCTTAAAACTCTGTTTTCATTTTTAGGATAATCTAAAAAATAACAATAATAATCTAAGTCTTGCTCAGATAACCTGTATGAATACTTTATATTCAAGAATTTTAGTGTCTACATTTGCATTTGGCTTCACCATCACATTAGTGCTAAACAGTATGACTCTAAATGGCTTGGCTGATAAAATAGGACCAAAGGCAAAGTTATATGTAAATGAGGCATTAGTACAGAGTGAGGGCCAAATGATGTCACAGACAACTATTCAAAAGCAGGAAATGCAGTAGTATTTACAACAGAGAAAAAGAGGCGGGAGAACTGAGTCAGCACTGGGCACACTGCAGAACAGGCATGTCGAGCTCAAAAGAATCTATGATACAGCAATCAGTCCCATATTCATGCTGTGAGCATAGATTCCACGGGCAAGATATTAATTACTAACATGTAACTATGAACTATGAATCCATGGAAAGGATTAGGCAAAGGGGCAAAGATGAACTGAAAGCAGATGGCCTGGTGACACCAGGAGTGGGAAAGGAAAAAAACGACAACAAAAACTTTAGGAAAAAAAAAAAGGCACAGAGACTATCTAGCAGAGAAAATCTAAAGTGTCCTGATATAAGTCAGGAAACTGAAACACAGTGCTGTTAATACCCACCACAAAGGTCTAGGAGTCCAGCCTGCAAAGTCTGGGTATACAGACTGAGAGCAGGGTCTAGGAGCAAGGGTGGGCAGACCTGGGTTGGAGAAAAAACAGGAGAGGAAGGTGTGCCGCCTGTTACTGGTGCACTAAGGCTTACTGTTATGGCTAGTGGAGGTAGGAGGTATCTGCTATTCTGTTGAAACAGTAATGGTAGATGTCTGATAATTCACACTTTCCTGGGTGAATCATTCTAATACTGCTTTCAAACTGGTGCCATGGACATCTGGAGGTGGATGATCATTGGACTTTATCCACATTTTGCGGATGAGACAAAGTTCAAGCATAAAAGTACACAATAATTTCTGTGGTCTCAGACCCCTTGCCCATTCCTTTTGTCTTTAGGGGAAAATTAAGTTTTATTTCATCAGAATACTAGAAACATGTATTAACTAAATTATTAAAACACCAAAAAAACAAACAAATTAAAAAAAAAAAAAAAACGCACTGCCGTTGCATCGATTCCGACTCGTAGGGACTCCAGAGCGTTTCCAAGGATGTAAATATCTACGGAAGCGGACTGCCACATCTCTCCTGTGGGGCCACTTGTGGTTTTGAACCGCTGACCTCTCAGTTAGCAGTCAACTGCATTAACCACTGCACCACTGCACCATTAATACACCAGTGGTCCCAAATTTTCTATGTAGACTCACAAAGCCCTGAAACCACTTGGGTGGATAAAAGGGGAAGATTGGGAACATTAAAGTTTCTGAGACTAGTTGAAAAGCATGGAAGGGGAAGCACAGCCACTGTGCAACACTGCCCATGGAGAATTCTGGCAAATAGAACTGCAGGAGAAAGCATGTAGCATATCACAGAGGGGCACATGAGGACAACAGCTAGCTTGGAGATTGTTCATATTTCTTAAAAAAGAAAGAAAAGGAGAGGAAATAGTTTCACCAACAAAAAATATGTTCCTTTCCATTTGACTATGAAGGTAAAGATAAACTTGAGAATGACCCACCTTACTCCAAGCATAATTCCAGGTCACAGAACAGTCGCCTCCTAGGAGATCTTTGAGCCAGGTGACTGGGGTTTGATAAATCTGACCATTCTCTACCTTAATTTTACCACTTGATAAAATACTGGCTTTGTGGGTAGTCTCCTGAAGTAAAAGATAAAACAAAAATAAAGATTAAAAATTAGTTGTCTGTACTTAGAATAATGAACTTCCAAAACTCAATAGTAAGACAACAGACAACAGATGAAAAACAGGCTAAAGATTTCAACAGACAATTCACCAAACATTAAATATAGGTGGCAAATAAACACACAAAAAGATGCTCAATAACTTTAATCACTGTCGTTGTTGTTGTTAGGTGCCGTCCAGTTGGCTCCAACTCATAGTGACCCTATGAACGGAAGGAAATACTGCCTGGTCCTATGCCATCCTCACTATCGTTGTTATGCTTGAGCCAATTGCTGCAGCCACTGTTATCAATCCATCTCGTTGAGGGTCTTTCTCTTTTTCGCTGACCCTGTATTTTACCAAGCATGATGTCCTTCTCCAGGGACACGTCCCTCCTGATAACATGTCCAGAATATGTGAGATGAAGTCTCCCCATCCTTGTTTCCAAGGAATATTCTGGCTATACTTTTTCCAAGACAGATTTGTTCATTCTTATGGCATCCATGGTTGCAGTGGATTACTTTTGTGTGTGGCCCTTCAAGCCATGGTCTTGTAACTCCCATGCAAGTGATTGGGCAGGACTGCGTGATAGGGTAATCCAAGGGGATTGGTCAGTTTAGCCTTAAAAAAGAGCCAGTTCCAGAGCAGAAGGGAGCAGCCCACCATCACCAAGCAAGAAGAGACCCAGCAGCAGAGACCCAGCAGCAGGAGACTGCACGGTGGGCTTCCCGGCCCATGGACGGAGAATGTTGAGCGCCTTCGAGCAGACACTGAGGGCCAGGGAGAGGCGGGCCTGCGAGCACAGCTTGGGAGAGGATATCCTGATGGAAGAACTGTATCCTGAGTGTTCCTGAGCCTGAATTGTAACTGTTACTTCCCTAATAAACGCATGAATCGTGAGTATGGTCTGTGAATTCTGTGTGGCCATTGCAGTGAATTATCAAACACAGCAGAGAAGTAGAGTGCTGTGTGGGGGAAGGCTGGTGTCAGAATTAGTAAAGATAGCAGAGAGAGGAGGCTTGTCTGGCTTCTACCTCACGGGAGTCAGCCTTGATCTGCTGACTTTGGTTCTCCTTCCCCCCGTGGGGTTGGAGGAGGTCAGACACTGTCCCTACGCCGTTTTAACAATGGTATATTCAATATTCTTCACCAACACCATAATTTAAAGGCATCTATTCTTCTTCGGTCTTCTTTATTCACTGTCCAGCTTTTGCATGCATATGAGGCAATTTAAAATACGACGGCTTGGGTCAGGCGCATCTTATTCCTCAAAGTGACATCTTTGCTTTTGAGAACTTTAAAGACATCTTTTGCAGATTTGCCCAGTGCAGTATGTTGTTTGACTTCTTGACTGCTGCTTCCATCGGTGTTGATTGTGCATCCAAGTAAAATGAAATCCTTGACAACTTAAATCTTTTCTCTGTTTATCATGATGCTGCTTATTGTTCTAGTTGAGGATTTTTGTTTTCTTTATGTTGAGGTACAATCCATACTGAAGGCTGTAGTCTTTGATCTTCATCAGTAAGTACTTCAAGTCCTCTTCACTTTCAGCAAGCGAGGTTGTGTCATCTGCATATCGCAGGCTGTTTATGAGTCTTCCTCCAATCCTGCTGCCTTGTTCTTCTTCATATAATCCAGCTTCTCGGATTATTTACTCAGCATACAGATTGAATACGTATGGTGAAAGGATACAACCCTGACACACATCTTTCCTGACTTTAAACCATGCAGAATTCCCTTGTTCTGTTTAATAACTGCCTCTTGCTCTATGGACAGGTTCCTCATGAGCACAATTAAGTGTTCTGGAATTCTCATTCTTCACAATGTTATTCATAATTTGTTATGATCCACCCAGTCGAATTCCTTTGCGTAGTCAATAAAACACAGGTAAACATCCTTCTGGTATTCCCTGCTTTCAGTCAAGATCTGCCTGACATTAGCAATGATATCCCTTGTTCCACATTCTCTTCTGGATCTGGCTTGAATTTCTGGCAGTTCCCTGTTGATGTACTCCTACAACAGCTGTTGAATGATTTTCAGCATAATTTTACTTGCATGTGATATTAATGATATTGCTCAATATTTTCCACATTCAGCTGGATCACCTTTCTTTGAAATGGGCACAAATATGGATCTCTTCCAGTCCGTTGGCCAGGCAGCTGTCCTCCAAATTTCTTGACATAGAGTGAGCACATCTAGCACTGCATCCATTTGTTGAAACATCTCAATTGGTATTCCATCAACTCCTGAAGTCTTGTTTTTTGCCAATGCCTTCAGTGCAGCTTGGACTTCTTCCTTCAGTACCACTGGTTCCTGATCATATGCTACTTCTTGAAATGACTGAACATTGACCAATTTTTTTGGTACAGTGACTCTGTGTATTCCTTCCATCTTTTTTTGATGTTTCCTGCTTCGTTCAGTATTTTCCCCGTAGAATCCTTCAATATCACAACTCGAGGCTTGGATTTTTTCTTCAGTTCTTTCAGCTTGAGAAATGCCGAGTGTTTTCTCTCTTTTGGTTTCCTAACTCCAGGTCTTCGCATATTTCATTATAACAATTTACTTTGTCTTCTTGAGCCACCCTTTGAAATCTGTTCAGCTCTTTTACTTAATCAATTCTTCCATTCGCTTTAGCTACTCTACGTTCAAGAGCAAGTTTCAGAGTCTCTTCTGACATCCATTTTGGTCTTTTCTTTCTTTCCTTTTTAATGACATCTTGCTTTCTTCATATATGATGTCCTTGATGTCACTCCACAACTCCTCTGGTCTTCAGTCATTAGTGTTCAATGTGTCAAATCTATTCCTGAGATGGTCTCTAAATGCATGTGGGATATACTCAAGGTTGTACTTTGGCTCTTGTGGACTTGTTCTAATTTTCTTTAGATTCAACTTGAACTTGCATATGAGCTACTGATGGTCCGTTCTGCAGTCAGCCCCTGACTTGGTTCTTAGTGATGAAACTGTGCTTCTCCACTGTCTCTTTCCACACATGTAGTCAATTTGATTCCTGTGTTTTCCATCTGGTGAAGTCCATGTGTATAGTCACCGTTTATGTTGTTGAGAAAAGGTATTTGCAATGAAGAAGTCGATGGTCTTGCAAAATTCTACCATGTGATCCCTGGTGTCGTTTCTATCACCAAGGCCATACTTTCCGATTACTGATCCTTCTTCGTTTCCAGCTTTGGCATTCCAATCACCAGTAATTACCAATGCATCTTGATTGCATGTTTGATCAATTTCAGACTGCAGAAGTTGGTAAAAATCTTCCATTTCTTTATCTTTGGCATTAGTGGTTGGTTCGTAAATTTGAACAACAGTCGTATTAACTGGTCTTCCTTATAGGTGTACGCATATTATCCTATCACTGACAGTGTTATACTTCAGGATAGATCTTGAAATGTTCTTTTTGATGATGAATGCAATGCCATTCCTCTTCAATTCGTCATTCCCGGCAAGGTAGACCATATGATTGTCCAATTCAAAATGGCCAATACCAGTCCATCTCAGCTCACTGATGCCTAGGATTTCAATGTTTATGTGTTCCATTTTATTTTTGACAATTTCCAATTTTCCTAAATTCATACTTTGTACATTCCATGTTCCGAATATTAATGGATGTTTGCAGCTGTTTCTTCTCATTTTGAGTCATGCCACATCAGCAAATGAAGGCCCTGAAAGCTTGACTCCATCCACATCATTAAGGTCAACTTTACTTTGAGGAGGCAGCTCTTCCCCAGTTGTCTTTTAAGTGCCTTCCAACCTAAGGGGCTCATCTTCCCACATTGTATCAGACAATGTTCTGCTGCTATTCATAAGGTTTTTACTGGCTAATTCTTTTCAGAAATAGACTGCTGGGTCCTTCTTCCTAGTCTGTCTTTGTCTGGAAACTCTGCTGAAATCTGTCCACTATGGGTGTCCCTGGTGGTATTTGATACACCAGTGGCAAAGCTTCCAGTGTCACAGCAACACACAAGCCCCCACAATATGACAAACTGACAGACACGTGGTGGTCTTTAATCATTAGGGAAATGCACATTAAAACTATAATTATAAACCATAAGGATGTTCACATGCTAGCATGGTTAAAATTAAAAAGACTGTTTATCCCAAGTGTTGATGAGGATATGGAGGAACTGGAACTCTCACACACTGCTATTGGGAATATAAAATGATACAAACACTATGGAAACAGTTTGGCAATTTCTAAAAAAGTTAGATGTACACCTACCGTATGATCCAGCCATTCCATTCCTAGGTATTTACCCAAGAGAAATGAAAGTCTATGTCATACCAAGACTTGCACACCAATGTTCACAGCAGCTTTATTTGTAATAACCAACAACTGGAAGCAACCCAAATGTCCACCAGGGATGAACTGATAAAGACACTGTGGTATAAACAGACAATGGACTAGTACTCAGCAATTAAGAGGGAACAAACCATTGATACATGCTATAACAAGGATGAATCTCAAAATAATCATGCTGAGAGGAAGAAGCCAGACCAAAAAAAAAAAGGTTGGGGCAGGGGGACATATGGTATAATTCCACTTATACAAAATTTTCAGAAATGCAAATTAATGTATAGGGGTAGAAAGTAGATCAATAATTGTCTGGTAATCAGTTGGGGAAGGGAGAGGTGTGAAGAAGGTATATAAAACTTATGGGAGTGATGGACATGCTCATTATCTTGTTTGTGGTCACGATTTCATAGGTATATACATGTTAAAACTTTTCAAATTGTACACTTTAAATATATGCAGTGTATTGTATATGTTAATTACATCTCAATAAAGCTGTTAAAGGAAGCTAAAATATGAAAATTCTATTAAAATTTTATTATAGCTGATCTGGAAAAGTAGCCATAACTATCAAAATTTGAGTTAATGTAATTAATTTACTAATTAAAATTTCAGTTGCTTTTGCTAATCTGACGTGGATATACTTAGTAGTAAATTGGTTAACAGGTGAGCAAACGGGAACAATTAAGGGATCTGAGATCAAGTCACTAATTTGGTCTTAAAAATATAGTTTGGAACTTTAAAATTATTTTATTCCTAACCTATAGGTAAAGCTGGGTTATGCAAATAGTTAATGTGCTTGGCTGCTAATCTAAAGGTTGGAGGTTCCAGTCCACCCAGGGGCGCCTGGAAAGAAAGGCCTAGCAATCCACTTCTGAAAAGCCAGCCATTGAAAGCCCTATGAAGCACAGTTCTACTCTGACACACATGTGGTCACCATGAGTCAGAGCTGACTCAATGGCTTTTTTATCTAGGAAAGGCTTCTTATTCAGAAATGGAAAGGACTGGAAACAGGGACATTCAAATTAAATTACAGTTAGCCTGTATTGATTTCTGTTGGACTGCTCCATAAGCAAAGAAGCCTTCAAGGACTGCAGTCTTTGCCACTCTGAATTAAAAAGTGAAATGTAGGGAAAGGGGAGAGGGAGCCTCCTTTGCAGGCATTTCCAATAGAACATTTTTTTCTCCTCTACTTTTATACACATTTGATAGTTAACTGAATTAAATTTAGCCAATCTCCAAGTCATTACCTGGTTCTAAATTGACCTTCTGTGGAAGATGAATTCATACCTACCTCTTTATTAGGGGATACCTTAGTTCCCAAGGAGCCCTGGTGGCGCAGTGGTTAAGAGCTCAGCTGCTAACCAAAAGGTTGGCAGTTTGAACCCACCTTAGCTGCTCCTTGCAAACCCTATGGAGCAGTTCTACTATGTCCTATGGAGTTGCTATGAGTTGGAATCGACTCAAGGGCAACAGGTTTAGTTCCCAAAACTTTGGAACCAATTTATTATTTTTATGTTGTTTTTAAATCCTTCCTTCTGCAATAAAATTGACTAGTTCTATTCTGAAGCATGATGTCACTTGCTGAGAATACAATGGTCGTGGCCCTCCATTCAGGAAGGCCTGCCAAACTCCATTTCTCTAATCAGAGCTAAATGTCTAGTCTATGTAACAATAATATTTACTCATCTATAAAATTTACATGATTTTAAAGAAAAACTAAGTATGATACCTGTGTTTTGAATTCCAGAATGTTATTTCCGGGATTAATTCTTCCTAGTAATATTAGATCCTTTATTTGTATACATTTCTTTTTAGGAGCTGTGCTGTAGTTTAAAGGCTTTTTCATAGTATGTTGACGGCCAGACCCAGAGGTGGTGATCTGACTGTCATTTGCACATGGAACAGCAGAAGCTGATTTTTTAAGATATGGTTTCATCTGATGCATCGTATCACTGTCTAAGGCGGTAATTCTCTGATGTGCAGGAGACTCTGATGCTGCCCTAGGTGGTTGCTGGGAAGCTGTTTTCTTGTTTCTTGTTTTTGGATCATAATTGGAAAGGGCTTGATCACAAATAACAGCTGATAGATGGGCATCCTTTTGGGCAAGTACACTTGTGATTTCTGAAATATTTAAGGCACCAGTAACTGTGGGAGGGTGGCAGGATTCATACCCTTTGGCTGTAGTTTTTATAAAATCGTTTTCTTTTTGTGAATAATCTACTTGCGCAATAAAAGCAATAGGTTGTGATGGTAATTTAATCTTCTCAGTGCCATCTAAATGACTGGATTTTGATAACCCATCCAAGGTATAGTCACTGACATTCTGTTTCGAATTCTGCTTATTTCCAGAAAATTCTTCCCTTCTCACTGTCTCTGAATTTTGGCCAATACTGGTATTCTGGCTGTCGTTCTCAACTGTAACACAAGTTTCCAGAGGCAACTGTGCTTCCTGCATGTTTCCAGAAACAAGGTTGGCAGGGGAAAGTGAACCTGACAGGGGCTGTACTGATTTTTCCAGACTGGTAAGCTTCTGGCTGTCCTCTTCATTAGAGATCTCTGGGCTAGATGGCAGCTTCCTCAAGCTAAGTCCAGACAATGATGTGACATTCTTATAGTTTTGAATTTTCAGGCTTATACTTCTCTGTTTTTTTGCCACAACTAAAAGACTCTTTTGTCTTGTGGCCAAGTTAGCCAGTTGTTCTCTCAGAGCTCCATGCTTAAATGACTCTATAGACACCCTACAGAAAGAAACACAAAGACAGAAAAAATACAAAAACAGGAGAAAACTTGTTTTTAAGCAGTAATTTAGGTGTTAAAGACACTATTTTGTTTCAATTTTAAATTTAATTAGCTCGATTAAATTAATCACCTCAATTTCAATTTAAAGGTACACAAATGTCTACCTTTGCAGTGTACTTCCTTTGAGAGGAAATGGACTACTTTAGTTAAGGTAAGGCAGTTTGCTTTTTTCAGGAGGTGACTATGGTTATCCAGAAATATTCTCATATCATTATCAGTTGTGAGTCAACCCTGAAAGAAAAACTAAACCCGGGTAATCTATCTAGTTATCTACTAATCCTTTAGTTGGAAGGTAGCAATTGGTGGCTGAGGAGAACACCACCATGAAACACATTGTTTACTGAGTGGAAAGGCATCTCAGGAAGTAAACTTTGGGAGTAAGCTCTACTCAGGTTCCCTTAGCCATATAGGAGTAAGACTGTTTCGTGAATAACCATCCCTCAACTAGACCTGAAACATGTCAGTTCACCAACTAATTACTGTAATTGTACTTTGCTCCATACAGAGGCACTTTCAAGTCCAGAGGCACGACCCAGACAAGCACTATCCTGTGTGCCTTCCCCAAACCAAATCTCTAGGGGCTTGACTAAGGGGAGGAAACGGCTCACCATGCTTCTTCCACACCTCCGTCATTTGGGTATGCCCACCTATCCCACAATGACCTTCAGGATACTGGCCACTTTGTTTCCAGCTATTCTTAAACTTTTTGGTCTCAAGACCCTTTTATACTCTTAAAAATTACTGAGGACCTCAAATAGCTTTCGTTTATGTGGGTTATATCTATCAATCTATCAAACAATATTGACTGTTTTAGAAATTAAAAATGGAGAAATGTTTAAAATATGAGAACATACAAGCACACATTCTATTTGGATTACAGTGATGACATCATCACACCATGTGGCCTCTGGAAAATTCCACTGTATACTCATGAGAGAATGAGAGCAAAATAGGAAGATAACATCATAGTATTATTATGAAAATTTAGTTTTGACTTCACCCAAAACGAAACCCACAGCCGTCGAGTCGATTCTGACACATAGCGACTCTATAGGACAAGGCAGAACTGCCCCATAGAGTTTCTAAGACTATAACTCTTTATATAAAAGCAGATTGCAACATTTTTTCCCCGAGGATTGACTGGTGGGTTTCAACCACCGACCTTTTGGTTACCAGCCCAATGTTTAACCACTGCGCCACAGGGCTCCTTGATTTTGACTTCACAGATCCCCTGGAATGGTCTCAGGGGCCCCTAGGGGGTCTCTGGACCACCCTTAAAAAGCTGTCATTTTAAGGGAAAGAACTATAGATATCTTGCCTCTTCTATCATGGTTTAGGGTTGTTGGTACTCAACTCCCAGAAGAGAGGATGTAAAAAGGAGTAGTAGATATAAGTAGAAGAAGCTGAGAGAAGAAGAAATCTGATTAGGCAACAACTGGTAGCATAAAATGCAAGAAGCTGGGAAAAGGAGTTTGAAGCCTTATAGCAGTATTAATAAGGATTTACATGCCTGAAAACCCTACTGAGGAACCCTGGTGGTGTAGTAATTAAAGCCCTGAGCTGCTAACCAAAAGGTCGTCGGTTCAAACCCACAAGCTGCTCCACTGGAGAAAGATGTGGCAGTCCGCTTCTGTAAAGATTACAGCCTTGGAATGTCCTATAGGGTTGCTATGAGTTGGAATTGACTTGACAGCAGTGGGTTTCATTTTGGATTTTAACTCCTATTGATCAGAAATTTTCCAAAATTCTAGGTACGTTGTTAACCATAGGACACTAAAGGAAAATTGAAGCTAGCCTCTTTGAAGTCCCCTAGAAAATATCCTGTAGTCAATTAACCATCTGTAGGTCACATGAGCTCGCCTGCTTTATACTGACAGAAAAATAAGTCTGGAAATAAAACAGGAACTTATGATCCTGATTCACTAGAAGGAAGGGCAAACTCAGGATAAAAAATGGTAGATTTATAAATAAAAATAGAAAACTGACTTTTAAATAAGTTCAGAAAAAAGGGAATATGCAGTAGATGTCAAATTATTAAATGACAAGAATATAAACTAAATATTTAGAAAAGCTAAATGAAAATAAAGAATATGGGATATATGTAGTGAATTTTATGAAAAACTAATAAAAAATAACGCCCAAACAAGAAAACAATACATAATAGCTTTCTCAAAAAAGGATGAGAAGAGGTATATAACAAATATAATCAGGATAAAATTCCTTAAGGTCACTGAGAGTCTGGAAGTACACAAAAATACAAAATATACATGATTACTCAACTGCTTAGAAGGATAACATTTGTGACAGCAAAAAGAAAAAAAATTTTAATGTAGAAAATTTGAATTTATTAAGGAAATAAATGTATCTATGAGATTCATAACTAAAGTCTTTTATAAAATTCTTGGCTATCAAAAATTTTAAAATATTAAAATGTTGTTTTTCTGAATATTTCAAGTAATAAATAGAAAAATATCTTTCTGGGAAGTAAAATCGGGAGAAAGACGTGGCAGTTTGCTCCCATAAAGATTACAGTATTGGAAACCCCATGGGGCAGTTCTACTCTGTCCTACTGGGTTACTACAAGTCGGAATCAACTCGATGGCAATTATTTTGTTTTAATGGGGGAAGTAAAATTTCCCATGTAAATACAAAGATACGATCTCATGAAGTCATTTTTTGGTTCTAAGGAACGTTTGTATTCTTAAGAAGTTCTAGGCCTAACTACTGCATGGATAAGTTCTAAAAAACTTTAAAGCACTCTTTTTTTTCACTCACCTGTATTTCTTAGCTAGATCATCCCTTTCTGCCTTCTGCTTGGCAAGCACACTATCCATCACCTCTTTGATCTGTAACATCTTCTCAATGTATTGTTCTAGAAATATGGTAATAAAATCAGTTACAGTGAGAGATAGCAAATGATAAATCTGGTCACACAGGACTGAGCCTTACTGTTTATTTCAAAACATCAGTCTTAACTACTCTCTTTCCTAATATTGATGGCCCCCAAAAATAAGCTGAGTCTTATTTAATTATGTCATCCTATGGGAATGTCTTGAGGTTTAATGGTAAGAACACAGCACCAAAAAAGAGCAGGCAGGCCCGAGTTCTAGTCCTGCTGCCCTATAGTAAGCCCTGTGAACCTGGACAAACGTGGCCTCTGTGGTCAGTTTCCTTATCTGTGAAATGAAGGTGGTAAGGGAAGATAGATATTTTTTCTGTTACAATGACTTACTTTTTAAAATACAAAAGGAATACACTATCATTGTAAAAAGAATTTCAAATATGAAAGTTTACAGAAAAGTAAAAGAGCATCCCATTCACCTCCCTGTTTTTCCTCTATTTTACCCCACAAAGGACACTCACTGATGTTAACACTTTAGTGTGTGTGTACAGAATTTGATTTATATATTTAATGTACTGTTTTACATATTTATACTATATATAAATATACATTATATACACTTAAAAATTAGAATCATGCTATCAATTCTTGTTCTTTGCACTTAACACATGGATAGGACTAACGTAAGATCACACAGATTTTACAAATTTTCTATTATAATAGCTATTTTTTTCCTACTTTCTTCCATTGCTTCTGAAGAAAAGGCATCATGATCTGCCTCCCCCCATCACGAATCCTTAGGATTTACACATAATTCTGTGGATTGCACCCAAATCTAGATCCCCAAGTAGGAAATTGAAAGATTTAGGTGAATACACTTTATTTCTTTTAAGCCTCTGACTATTCATTTCACTTTTAGCTTAGTTAGAGTTTGTTCCAAACCTGCCTTTGCAAATCAGACAAATGGTTTGATACAGTGTCCCCAAAGTAGTCTTTATCTCTTTCATATTATGGAGAGGATTAGTTTCACAATATGATGTATGTGCTAACAAAGGGGGGAAACTTGTATGATCATTAAGAATTTAGATATAAATGTGTTCAGCAAATATGACAGTTTAACAAACTATTATCTAAATTATTCTATATTATATTTATTATCTATGTGCCCTGTCACATTGGGTTTTCTAACAGAATTTTAAACCACAGGTAAAAATAACATATCAGAGTAATCTAAAATATTTTATGTGTTTCTATAAGAAAGGATATATACTTTACACATAACTTGATACTATAAATTGCCCTCATATATATAACGATATATAATAAAGCATTACAAAACCATGAGGAAGAGAGAAATTATACAACAAATAAAGATGGATTTGTTGTTGTTAGTTGCTGTTGATTTGGCTCTGAATCATGGCTACCCCGTGTACAACAGAATGAAGTATTGCCTGGTCCTGCACTATCTTCACAATTGTTGGTACGCCTAAGTCCATTGTTGTGGCCACTGCATATTCTGAGTTTCTTCCAACCTAGAGGGCTCATCTTTCAGCACTATATTGGACAATATTCTATTGTGATCCACAGGGTTTTCACTGGCTAATTTTCAGAGGGAGAGCACCAAGCCTTTCTCCTAGTCTGTCTCAGTATGGAAACTCTACCGAAACCTGTCCTTCATGGGTAACTCTGCTGATATTTGAAATACTGGTGGCATAGCTTCCAGCATCACAGCAACACACAAGCCATAACAGCATGACAAACTGACAGAAGGGTGATGGATAAGGGTGGGCGAATACGGGAAAATCCCATTATTTCCTTAGATACAGAAAGGAAATTTCAGATGAATTATAGAGTTAAATATGCTTAGGAAAAAACAATACATAAAATGTTTACAATGGTAATCTTTTTGTCTCAATTCAGTTGAGGTACTAAAGATATCTGATACCAAAATGAATGCAAGACTTCTATAAGAAAAATTTACAAAGAAATATACAAATGGGATTCATTACTCTTGGATTCCTCAGCCAGATAATGTGGAAGGGGATGAATTTGTAAAGAAATTTCTTTAGCGAGCTGTTGCTTAACTGGGTGGGAACTGCCATGCTAAGCAACAAGAGTGAGGTGTGAGGGGGTTTCTCTCATTTATGTTAAGCCTAATGGGGGACAGTTTCTCAAAGAAACTGTTGTTTAGAGAGCTTAATAACTGAACTCTCAGTTGCAGTGATAATGGACTGGTATCTGACTCCCTCGCTGAACATCTAGAGGTAGAGATCCTGAAGACAAGAAGCTTCCACAGCAGGACAGAGAGAGAAAGTGGCTGCTCAATTGGTAAGTGATTAACAGTGAGTCCAAGATGCAAAGAATCTGAGGACTTGTGTAGAGCATGCCCCGTGATTCTGCTTAGGAGGGCTGGCTTCAAACTGAGGATGAGAGTCTGTGCAGGATGCACCACCAAAAAAAAAAAAAGTCTGAGAACTGAGAGGGGACTGTGCAGGGCTAGGGAAAGAGAAGTGTGCAATGCCCACATCTTAGGAGTTCCAGGCTGGCGGGCCATGTAGCAGTCTCAGAAAACTACTCTCAAGAGAGTGAGTTTAAAACATCTGCCAGAGAGGAGGAAAGATAACCACAGTCAGTTACCAGCCAAGAACTCTCAGGTCCCACCGTCTTACCTCTCTTCTCCCTTAAAGGGGCAGTGAGACAAAATAAATACATACATAAATAAAGGGATCATGATTATCCAATATATTGGTTATAAGAGAATAAAATTAAATTACAAATTCTTGGGGTGGGAAGGGGAAAAGAGTTTCTAATCATTCAAACAAAGGCAAAGGAAGAAGGGTGATATTACTATGCAGATTTGAAATTTTATGTATTTAAAAACAAAACAACAGATGTTACAAGTAGAAGGAGAGTCTAACTCGTTGCCTTTGAGTCGATTCTGACTCATGGAGACCCTATAGGACAGAGTAGAACTGCCTCACAGCGTTTCCAAGGAGCCATTGGTGGAGTCAAACTGCTGACCTTTTGGTTAGCAGCCTAATGCTTAACCACTGCACCACTAGAGGAATACTTTAGGAAATCAGCTTATCAATATGAATGACCAAAAATACAAAACCAAACCCAAAGTCGTTGAGTCGATTCTGATTCATAAGGACCCCACAGGGTTTCTGAGGCTGTAAATCTCTACGGATGCAGACTGCCACATCTTTCTCCTGCGGAGCTGCTGGTGGTTTCGAACCACCAACCTTTTGGTTAGCAGTTGATGCTTTAAACACTTTGCCACTAGGGCCCCTTCGATATGAATCGGTAGACTTTAAAATGTTAATAAATTTTAACCCAATAATTCTACTTCTATTAATCTTTCCTAAGAAGATAATCATAAATCCAGAAAAAGTTATTATGTTGTAGCATAAGTTTTTGGATACAATCTAAATGTTCAACAAAATAAAAAATTAAGTGAACTACGGAACACTGATTGAATACTATGTAACCACTAAGAATGATGGCTATTGGAAAAAAGAACACAAAACTAGCATATCTGGCATGATCAAAACTATGTTTTACACAGTTTTATTGAGGTATAATTGCATAGCTATGTTCTTTAAATAAAGTATCCATCCAAAAAAAGAAAAAGGCCTGGAAACAAATACACTAAAATATTGTGGTGGGAGAGTATGTAATTTTAGCATTTAGCATGTTTTCCCCTTTATTATTTTTGAAAGGTATCTATAATCTATATGACTTTTATAATGAAAAAAATTATAAATTGGAAAAATCAGCTTAAATGCACAAGGCACTATAAATAGTAAATAAAATACACTAACTGTACGTATTTGTTTGGGGGTATGAATTATTTTATTTCCTCAAAACATAACATGTACTATATGTTAAGCCAGGATAAAAAGTAGAATGGATATAATTTAAAAGGTAACAATTTTTAAATAGGCTATATAAACGTCGTCTGTCAGTTTGTCAAACTGTGGTGGCTCATGTGTTGATATGATACTGGAAGTTATGCCACCAGTATTTCAAATACTAGCAGGGTAGTCCATGGTGGACAGGTTTCAGTGGAGCCTCCAGACTAAGACAGAGTGGGAAGAAAGGTCTGGAATTTCCTCTGAAAATTAGCCACTGAAAACTCTATGGATTACAACAGGGTATTTTGTGATATAATGCTGGAAGATGTGCCCTCTAGGTTGGAAGAAGGCACTCAAAATACACAGTGGCCACAATAATGGACTTGAGCATACCAAAGATTGTGAGGACGGCGCAGGACCAGGCAACATTTCGTTTTGTTGTACATGGAGTCACCTTGAGTCAGAGCCAACTTGAGGGCAACTAACAACAAAATACAAAACATGAGTTAGCACAAGAGATCAACTAACAGTCACATCCTTCTATACAAAAGATTGATGAGGTGCTTTAAATTATTTAATTGTATCTAATTTTAAAATTCAGATGTGCATCTACCAGGAGCTACTTTCCAGCTTGTAAATGTTAACTCCAGACAATGTATCTGTGAGACATCAAGAATTTGAAAATACTCACTGAGAAGTTAAAAGCTTTGAGAAATTAAAATCACTAGGTCAGGAGAGTAAACTATAATTTACTATATTGAAACATTGGTGTTTGGTAAACAGGAAGACATCTATGCATTAAGAAATTCACCTGGTATATTTACTCATTTGAAAAGTATGAGAATTTGCTCTACTTGTGTCTTCATTGCACATTCCTTTTCTGATCTGTTTTTAAAGGTTACCATAGCTGGGTGAAGCCGAGGAGCCAAAGAGTAACATAATCTTATCTCTAGTTACTATCTTACGCTTTTTGACACATCTTGGTCTAAACATATCACCAGTAGTGGTTTATCTCTGATTATGCATCTGGGTGTCTCTCAAATTACTCATGCCACATCTTGCGTCTAGAGGATATCTTTAAAAATATCTTTATCAACAATCAAACTACCGGTTTGCATTTGCAACACTGACTTTCAATGATCATTCCTGGCACTTTAAATACTCTTGCAAAAGAAAGACCACTCTTTCAGTCATTGTTAAAATAATCATGTACCGTAAGAAGAGGGGCTAGCAATGACCTTGTATGTCTGAAATAATCAAACTTGAATATGAGTTGGTATTTACCTGCATCTTCAGGGGTTCTTATTTCAAATGCTAATAACCTTTCTTGTTTTTCTTCTATATCTTGTAAAATGGCGTTGATGGTCTGATGCTATCAGATAAAAATATTAGGAACTTCATTACAAAAGAGTAGATACTTATCTCTATTATCCTATTAACAAATGCACAGTAAATAAAGTGCTAAATAAAGTGCTGCTTAAAATGCTCATTTCCCTTTAAACTCAAAGTGTACTCAGCTTTATTTAACTTTCACTGTATAAACGCTACATATTTGACACAAAGTGAACTTAAATATATCTTTATGTAGTAGATCTACTTCTGGAAAATAGAATATAAGAGTAATAACTGTATAAGGAATCATACTTTCTCACTGATTTCTGTTATAATTATAGGCATGTTGTTGAGTGTGCCATGGAGTCAATTCTGACTCATAGCGAACCCTATAGTACAGAGTAGAACTGACCCACAGGGTTTCCAGGACTATAATCTTTAGCAAAGGAGATTGCCCCATCTTTCTCCCGAAAAGCACCTCACAGGTTCGAACTGCTGACTTTTCAGTTAGCAGCCAAGAACTTAATTACTGTGCCACCAAGGCTCCTTCAACTATAGTCATAGGAGGAGAAAAAACTAACTCAGCACATAATATTAAAAATCACATATGTGCAACAAGTTTATTTTAAGGATTTGTGACTACTCACTGCACAATATTAAAATGTCACACAAAATCTTAGAAATGCAAAAACACCACTCTCTCAAAAACTCACAAAGAGGATTTAATATGACTTAGAAGTTAAAATTGGAGCCATTATCCTTGTCCTTAAGTATAAAGAATGTGACTCAGCTGGAGCTGGACTAACAAGGACACATCAATTGGGCCCTGAGGTATCAAAACAATAGCTAGGACAATCTTGGAAACCATCTTTTAGGAAACCTTTCACATAAACAAATACTTAGAGCACAAAAGACCCACATATTTTCCACTCTTATCATTTTCTATTCCAAAACAAAAACCCAAACCTGTTTCCTTAGAGTTGATTCTGACTCATAGCAACCCTACAGGACGGAGTAGAACTGCCCCATAGTTTTTCCAGAGTGGCTGGTGGCTTCGAACTGCCAACCTTTTGGTTAGCAGCCAAGCTCTTAAACACTGCACCACCAGGGCTCCTATAAACACTATATTTAGAGGCATTAGCTAGATTCTCTATAAATATATCAAATATATATTTGCAGCCAACCACTTAACCACTGCGCCACACTTAGTAAATAGTAAGATTTGCTGGACCAATGAAGACCCTCCTGACTGTCATTACTGAGACTTGTACCAATAATTACTAAGAAATACAATTCAAAATGTAGAATCATGGTGGTTTAGCCGTTTTTAGCCAATCTGTGAAAAGGTGAAGCTTTTATTGATTTTATCCATTTGTAATATCAATATATACTGATGATTTTGTAACCTTCCTTGGACTCAGGCAGAATGCTTGTCTGTTTTCCACTTTGGCCTCATGGAACATATCCAAATAAAATCTTTCTTCTTGCTTTACTATAACTTTGTGGTGATTTTACCCTAGGACAAATACCATCCCTTTGTGCCCTTGTCATTATTAATCGTCCTGCCTGAAATGCCATCAATTTACTCTGTCCAGATTCCTCTCTAATGAGAGGTGGAATCAGGGAGATGGCCTGGGTGTGAATTCTGACTCCACTTCTTGCTAGCTGCTACAAGTTACTTATCTATTCCGTGTTTGAACTGAGCAACACATATAAAATGTTTAGGACAGTGCTAGCACAAAAAAAAAGCTCAATAAACATTGCCTATAACTATTATATAAAACCTGTCTCATTCACAAAACCTCTGTCTAATCTAATCCATACTGATTTTTCCTTTCTCAGAATTACTGAAGAATTTCAGAGCTACATAATTTAGCATTAGTATGTATAATGTTTTATACATTATATTTTCCCCTTCAAGATAATGAGATCTTACAGGCAGCAGCATGGCTTTTATATCTGTGGTGCCCACTTTGCTGGTTATATAGTTGTTACTCAATAAATAATGATTGACAAAGTGACCCATATTAACTACCCTTTAATAAACTCTTGATACACATTCATTTTAAAAACATGTACGTCCTCAAAGCCTTCTGAAGTATGTTGCTATGAAATATTACTTTGGTACCCACAAGGGATACGAAAAATGTACAAAAGAAAATCATCCGATTATGTGGTAGATCAATCTCATTGCTGTCATTTATTAAGTACATCAAAGTGAAACTGTAAAATACAAATATGCAAAACTAACAAAATACCCCAAGGTTTCCCTCTTTATACACTGAATGGTTTGTGGTTATAAACGCAAACGGAAGGCCTGAACTGGTGCCCAGGATAAGCCTCTACCACAGGTTAGATAAAGAAAATATCTTTTGGTGCGGACTTTTCTGTCTTGCCTCATACTGGGGATGTACTCAGTCATGCCCACCATGGGCCATAACCTCTCACTCCACACCAGTTCCACATTCTACCTGTCCAGCATTACCCTCCTCCTCCCATGATCCCCTTCTTAGTCCTTCATTACCGTTTGTTATATCTGGGGGGAAAAAAAAAAAAAGATCTTAACCTAGAATCTGTCCTTGGAACAAGCAGCTTCAGACAGTTTTTATTCTGTTTACTGCAAAGCTTCACTATGAATTTATTCCAAATTTGCTATTTTTACTATGGCAAGATCATCTTTGCCTCTGATGTCTTTCCTTCAGTTTTGTGCAATATAGCACAGTGGTTAAGAGCACAGGCTCTAGAACCAGGTTGCCTGGTGTTTAATTTTGGCATTGGTGCTTAATAGAAATGCAATTTTGGATTATGTTACTTAACTGCTCTTGCTTTAGCTTCCTCTTCAACAATGAGGAGTATAATAACAATAACAGAACCTACCTACCAGGGTTATTATGAGGACTAAGAGAGTTAATATAAACTGCTTAGAAGAGAGATTACCATATAGAAAGTGCTCAGTAAATGCCAGCAATTATTATTACTCCTGTGATCATTCTGTACGAAGTAGAGAAGGAGGCTGCCTACATGGTGTAATCTGAAGGTGCTACAAAGCAGCACCAAACTAAAATCATCTCATTTCCTTTGTGTCTGGCCATATTGCCACCCTCTCCTTCCATCTGGCCTGAAATTTCCAACATTTACCAAGACAAACTCTTAATGACTTTAAAGTTTTCATAGTTTCCTTTTTTTTAAAGTTGGTGTTTTTTTGAACTCTATATCTTCATTACATTTTCTCTGCATTTTGACATCTAAAATAATATACATTATTCCTGTAGTAAGTACCCATGCAGTTATATAACGATAAGGCATTTTTTTCAGAATGTTCTAATTTTTACATGAAAATATACCTTAAAGATCTTTATGGTCTGAGCAGGTATAGAAAGACCCCTGCCCATTCCGAACACATGGAAACACTGAATAAAATATAATAACTATACACATACACACACACACACAAACAGCCAAGAATGAAAAAAGAAAAGGAACACCCCTGGTGCCAGAAATGAATCTAGTAGTGGCCCATGGGTGATTTGGGGCAGTCATAGTTTTTAGGGCTGAATTTTCAATGGCCATAAAGGAAAGGGGGATAAGACCTCAGGCCCACATGAGGAGGGAGTTAGAATGCAGTCCCTCCATAAAGCTAGTGGCATTGAATGGGTGCCCTACCATTAAATAAGGATTAGAAAAATTCTACTTGTCACCCACTCAGGTCTTTGGGTAGAAAACTGGAGACCTGATGTATGTAAGAACTAAATTAATAAGAGTCTGTGTCGTTAAGGAGCTCAAACTGAGAAATTAGCATAAAAGTAGTCTAACACTGAGAAACCTCTAGGGCCCCAGCAGAGGCAAATGTTAAACACAAAACCTAAGCACACCGAGACTCCCAAAGTAAACAACCCTCACTGAAAGAAGATTACAATAAAAAATTACAAACCACAGGAAGAATCATAACATTACCAGAAAGAGTCAGGAGATGCAACAAGCAGAATAATCAACACTGCATGTGCTAAAAGAGGAGACTTTAAAATTCCTTTTACAATGTTTAGAAGGATTAAAAAAATGGTACTGATACTCTAAGGCAAGAACAGAAGAGTTTTGCTTGTTTTTAATATTTTATTGTTTTAGGTGAAAGTTTACACAGCAAATTAGGTTCCCCTTTAACCATTTTTATACAAATTGTTCTGTGCCATTGGTTACAATTTTTATAATGTGTCAGCATTCTCATTATTTCCATTCTGTTTGTTCTGTTTCCATTGATCTAGCTTTCCTTCCCCTCCTTGCCTTCTCATCTTTGCTTCTGGGTAAACGTTGACAGTTTGGTCTTATATAGTTAACTGTTTAAGGAAGTACATTTCTCACGGGTGACACTGTTTATTTTATAAGCCATTCTATTATTTGGCTGAAAGGAGACCTGCAGAAATAGCTTCAATTCCAAGTTCAGAGGTTATCTTAGGATGATAGTCTTGGGGGTTCCTCTAGTCTCTATCGGTCCAGTAGGTCTAGCTTTTTTTAGGAATTTGAGTTTTGTTCTACATTTTTCTCCCTGATGTTATATATTTGTTTTCCATTCTATCAGGGACTTTCTATAGTGTCCCTGGTAAGAACGATCAGTAGTGGTAGCCGAGCACCATCTAGTTCTTCTGGTGTCAGGTTAGAAGAGACTGTGATTTGTGTGGGCTATTAGTCCTGTGGACTAGTTTCTTCTTTGAGCCTTTGATTTCCTTCATTCTCTTTTGCTCCATACGAGCAGAGACCAATAGCTGTATCTTAGATGGTCACTCACAAGCTTTTAAGACCCCAAATGCTACTCACAAACTAGGATATAGAACATCATCTTTGTGAACTATGTTATGCCAATTGACTAAGCTGTCCCCTGAGACTATGGTCCCAAGCCTTTTAACCTAGTAAACCAATCCTGCGAGTTGTTTGGCTATGTCTAGGAAGCCTCCATAACTGTGCCCCCTATGTAGTTTGTTATATATGTGCATATTGTTTGTTTGTTTTTTAAAATAAAAAATTGAAAGAGAAACACAAAATGTCTAGAAATAAAAAATATAGTCATGGAAATGAAAAACTCAGTGGGTTAAGTACTTGAAGACAGAAATAATGAATTAGAAGACATAGCTGAGGAAATCACCCAGAATATAGTGTGGAGATTTAAACAGCTGAGAAATATGAAAAAGATATTACGAAACACAGAGATTGGTATAACAGGTATCTAAAACAGAGGTTTCAAAAAGGAGAATACTAAGAATGGAGGAGAGGCAATATTCTGAGGGTTCTGAAAATACAAATGAGAAATGTGTCTTCAGATTAAAGGAACATGTCTAGTCCAGAGTAAAATTAATGAAAACAAATTCACATTTAGACACAAGTTTATGAAACTATAGAACAAAACACTCAGAGAAAATCTTAAAAGCTACAAGATTAAAAGATAGATTATCTAAAAGGGAATGACAATTAGACTGACCCTCAACTTTTCATCCATTACAACAGATACAAGGAAACAATGTAAAATATTTTCAAAGTGCTGAGGGAAATACACTTCAGTCTGAATACCACTTAAAATAAAACATAAGGCATAAATTGGTTGATAAATTATAGTTTAGATTCAATGAATAACATTTTCCCTCTATATACTAACAGGAAGTAGGTGAGAAAAGTCTTATTCAAAATAATATTTCTTTGAGGATGCTGCCTGGTAAGCTTTGTGTTTTTGTGCAACTAAGAATATTTATTTCATCAATAAAAATATATTTTATTGAGCAACTACTCTGTTATTTTTCTAAAAATCTACCTTTACATAAGTTTATACTTACTACACATACAGCAAAGTCTATCACTGTAAAGCGTATGGGACTCAGGACTACTAAACCAGGTTGCTTTCCTCTTCCCTGTCTGGGTTCTAGGGTCTTTTCTAAATAGTATATATCCTAGACACTTCTGGGGAGTACATGGGTAATATACATTATGACAGTGTCAGTGTCTATCAGACAAGAAGTAGCCACAGAACCCAAACTAGGTGTAAGGGACAGCAGCTAATTCATAGTCCTGTATTCATTGCAGATAGCTGAGAGCTAACCAAACAATTTGTTTTCTTGGCTCATTCTGTTCAATTACATTATTTTCTTACGACACACAAAAAAATTTCCATCTGTGTGTCCTTAAAAGGCAATGAGTACTGCCAACAGCCAATAGCTGGCTGGCCCAAAGAATGGCATTTTCTATGCTGAAGAATAAAAATATTTCAACTTCACTCACCATAGAAAGGCTTTCTCTTGTTTTTTCTTGGTGTGAAAGGGAAGGTGGATCATCAGTTTTGCAGTCATCACAAATACACTGCTTATGTCTTTTTGACCGGACAGCAGGACTTTTTACTTAAAAAAATAAAATTAGTAAATTATTAATAAGCATGCACAAAAATTTAGCTTCATTCTATCAGCTGTAATGGTGACAGGGATGGGAAGGATAAATTTTCTACAATAATTATAATATCTTAATGTTACTCAGCACCTCACTTATTATAATTATTATTATGAATTGACTATTTACGGCTAACATTTACTAAGCACTTATTGTATGTTAGATGTCAAGTACCCTCCATGAATCATCTTACTTACTTTACTCCAAAGTCCATGCACTTAACCACTGTGACTATGATTCATTGCCTCTGTAAAGATCTCTCTGACTTCCTCTAGATTCCCTTTATCTCTGTTACTATTGTATTCTATACCCTTCATCCCTCTGAGATACCTGACCAAGGAAGTGTATACACAAGAAACCAACAGACAAGTGGGAATAGATACAGTACTATATACACAGCATCCAGTAACTCCAAATGCAAAGCTTCTCTGGTAAACTAAGCCAAGTGAAATCAGGGGACCTGAACTTTCAAGTGGCTGTGGAAAGGGAGAGAGATATGGTTGGGGTCCTAAGAAAGGTTCTGAGCCCACTTCTCCTGCTAATCACATGAAAAAGGATGGCTGGCCTTTCTCTAAGGGCAAGGCCCCGTGGACTTATACCACATGGTAGCAGGCAGTGAAAAGAGGAACCTTGCATCAGTCTCGAACTTGACCTACATGTGATTTAGTCCACTAGTAAAATATGACCCAATGAATATCTTCGTCTCTTGAGGACTAACAGTTGGTAAGGATGGTGGTAGGCTGGGGTAGAAATGTGTGACATGGGTTCTTTCCCCAACATTCTCCCTCATACAGAGAGAAGGCAGATATGTTCTTGGGTTTCTTCTTATATGAGTCAAGGTTCAAGCATGGGGAAATGGGAGAATTCCCTCTACTCAGTACTTCATAAATTGTGTTGAATTGCCTGTTCTCTGGTCTGTCTCCTCACAAGATTGGAAGTTCCTCATGGACAAGTGCCTAGTTGCATAGTAGGTGCTCAACAAATATATGTTTTCTAAATTGTTGTTAGCTGCCATTGAGTTGGCCCCGACTCATGGTGACCTCACATACAATGGAACTAAATGCTGCCTGGTCCTGCGCCATCCCCAGGATCATTCGTGGATAGGTCTGTTGTGATCCATAGAGTTTTTTTTTTTTTTTTTTTTTTTTAATGGGCCTAGATCATCTTTATTATTTTTTTTTCTTTTGAAAATCAAAACAATGTTTTGTTGGGTTTTCATGAATTAAACTAGATCAAGGACTTTTCAAAGTGTAGAAAAAGTGAATAGATTTTTTTTTAGCATCTTTTTTTTTTCATTATTTTTTATTGTACTTTAGATGAAAGTTTACAGAACAAACTACCTTCTCATTAAACAATACGCATTGTTTTGTGACACTGGTTGCCAACTCCATGACATGTCAACACTCTCCCTTTCTTGACCTTAAGTTCCCCCATTACCAGCTTTCGTGTCCCCGCCTGCCTTCTAGTCCTTGCCCCTGGGCCGGTGTGCCCATTTAGTCCCATTATGTTTTATGGGCCTGTCTAATCTTTGGCTGAAGGGTGAACCTCAGGAGTGACTTCTTTACTGAGCTAGAAGGGTGCCCAGGGGCCATACTCTGAGGGTTTTTCCAGTCTCTTTCAGACCAGCAAGTCTTTTTTTTTTTTTAGTTAGAGTTTTGTTCTACATTTTTCTCCAGCTCTGTCTGGGACCCTCTATTGCAATCCCTGTCAGAGCAGTCAGTGGTGGGAGCCGGGCACCATCTCGGTGTGCTGGACTCAGTCTGGTGGAGGCTGTGATACTTGTGGTCCATTAGTCCTTTAGACTAATCTTTCCCTTGTGTCTTTGGCTTTCTTCATTCTCCCTTGCTCCAGATGGGGTGAGACCAGTGGAGTATCTTAGATAGCAGCTCACAAGCTTTTAATACCCCAGATGCTACTCACCAAAGTATGATGTAGAACATATTCTTTATAAAACTGCTATGCCAATTGAGCTAGATGTTCCCAGAGACCACAGTCCCCACAGCCCTTAGCCCAGTAATTTGGTGTTCCTCAGGGAGTTTGGATGTGTCTACGATCCATAGAGTTTTCATTGGCTGATTTTTGGAAGTAGATCTACAGGCCTTTCTTCCTTGTAGTCTTCTTAGTCTAGAAGCTCTGCTGAAACCTGTTCAGCATCAGAGCAACATGAAAGCCTCCACTGACAGATGGGTGGTGGCTACAGACGAGGTGCACTGGCCAGAACTGAACCTGAGTCTCCTACATGGATGGCGAGAATTCTACCACTGAACCGCCAATGTCTCTGTTTTCTAAATTAGTGTTCAGTAAATGCCTATTTCTTATAGATAATTCATTATATTATTTAAATGCAACCTACCGCTACAAATGGTTGATAAAATTTTGCCTGCCTGTACATTCTCTTGAAATATTCTTTTCACTATAATATTAATTTGCTTAAAAAAATTAATATTCCAGTACTAAAATACTAAGTTCTTGAAAAGTTTACATCAGTCCAACGTATGTGTGAATCATTACAAATTTTGAAGTAACAGAACTCAGTTGCAAAGACTTCATCAGATGTCATCCTTTTTTAGCCCCACTCACAAGTAAACCAATCTGTCTGGTTTCAGTTGCATCTCTGTCTTAGACCAATGTTAAGGAAATAAATGTTTGTTGAATGAATGATATGGATTTCATTTCAGTGTGTAACTTCAATCCAACAGGATCATATGATTTATAAATTAAACCAAATTTGGAGATACTAGTTTCTAAAAATAAATAATGGCTTGTCAAGAGTTTATTAAACATAAGAAACATCTATTCTCGATTTTGAAATAATTTACACTACAAATCTAAAGATTTTGTTTTTCTCAGCAGGGGTATACACCTGTATAAAACAGCGAGCAAAACTAACATACATACCAATATTACTCTCATCTCTATTACCAGTCTCAACAGCACCATAAGATTTTAGCAGCTCTTTCATTTTTTCATCATCTGCTTCATCCAAAGCAGTCTTCTTTTTTGGATCTTTTTGATTAGGGTTTGCTCCATGTTGTAATAGAATCTCAACTGCCTAGAAGATATTTTTCTCAAAGTTATCTCTAAAGACATTTAATATCAATAATTTCTGCTTTCATCACAAGACACCACTACCAAGAGTTAAAAATAATAAAAAAGTTTTTAAACTTTGGCTATGAAAACTTTTGATTAAATTTGATATATAAAATGTACATTGATCCACTGATTTGGCCTTATGTGTGCTCATGGGAGAACCTAATACAATGACATGGAAGTATTAGATATGCTGCCTTCATCACAGTAAGAGGTAGACCCAGGTAGGTCCATTCTAGATGAGTACTGCCCAATAGAGCTTTCTTCCATAATGAAATGTTCTATATCTGTTGTGTCCAATAAAGTAGACACTAGCTACATATCACTAATGAGAATTTAAAATGTGCTAATGAGAATGAGGAATTTAATTTTTAATTTAATTTAATTAATTTAAATAGCTATATGTAGCTAATGGCTACCATACTGGACAGCACAGATGCTGTACAGATTAAGCTACTCATATGCAAATGTGGAACTACTGATGTCCAGATTTGTTCTATCTCTTTAACAGAGTTCTTTGTCCTCTTCCAAGCTGCTGAAGAATGGAGTGGAGAAGAGGGCAAGACTCCTGAAGTAATGCTTCAGGACTATATTATACCATAAACTGTATTATAAATTGCCATTAGACATAGTTGAATAAAACTCTATTTGAACTATATTTCAGGTACACTACAGGTTCAAGAGGTTTTGTGAGCTAGTCTGGGAACCTAATCTGCATTCTAACATTCTCCCTTTGGAAATACGTTATGTGTTCTAATAACTGACTTAAATTCACAGAATGTTAAAGCTAGAAGAAAACTTAGAAATAATCTATTCCAACCACACCATTACAGAGGAGGAATCTAAGGCCAAACAGGTATGACATTTTTTTGGGGAAAAATAAAGTTTCTAATATTTTAAATGAGGTTTATATGAATAACCTGAAGCTGTGTATTATAAGTTAATTTGTAGTTTATCAAAGTTAGAGATGGTTACTAATTATAGTACTTAATCAATTAGTAAAATAAAAACAGCCAGTGACCTTTATATGAAGCAAGTGACTGAAACCACTGAAAAATATTCTGATTGGGAAAAGATAGTCAAGATTTTGTTAAAATGGAGACATACTAAAACCTGTTGCCATTGGGTCGATTCTGACTCATGGTGACCCTATAGGACAGAGTAGAACTGCCCCATAGGGTTTCCAGTGGGGGCACATCTTTCTTCCGAGGAGCAGCTGGTGGGTTTGAATTACTGACCTTTTGGTTAGCAGCCCAGCGCTTTAACCACTGCACCACCAGAGCTCCTTGGGAGACATACTACATGCCAATAATTTTTCCTTTTCCGCTTGTGTCCAGGGATAAAGACGCAGAGCAATTTAGAAGCAAATCAGCCAGCAGGAATTGTAAGAATCGCCCCTTATTTATTCCATCAGCTTAGAGGTAGTACAGCGTAAAGTAAAATATATTTGTTATAAGATCAAGTAAACGTGTATACAAAACTCAATCCCACTAGTCATTACCTTGTCCTTGGACAAGTTACTTATCGTCTTTGAACTTCATTTTCATCACCTATGAGGATCAATTGGGAGCCCATGTAAAGTATCTGGTACATAATAGGCTCTTAATGAAACAATCCTCCTAAAATCCCTTTTTTCTTTTACAGAGGTAAAAAGACTCACTATGTTAATGAGATGCATATAAAAAAGTCTACTGCAAAGACTGTTGATGAAAGCTGCATATATACACCTTAAAAAACCCACTGCTGTTGAGTTGATTCTGACTCATAGCGACCCTACAGGACAGAAGAGCAGCTGGTGGACTCGAACTGCTGACCTTTCGGTTAGCAGCCATAGCTCTTAAACACTTCGCGACCAGGGCTCCTATACATACCTTAGTGAAGTTTAAGTAAAGCTATGGAAAGGAAAATTTATTTTTTCATTTTTAAAAGATGGGGTTGGCAGTGCCTCAGTCCAGTAATTTCTAAACTTGAGTGATCAGCAAAGCCACCTGAGGAGTTAATTAAAAATAAACATTCCTCAGACCATTCACAGAGATAAATTCAGCAAACTAGAAATCTATGGATTAATCTGCAGAAATTTATCTCCAATATCATATGGGGGAAGGAGACAGTTATTTCTGGAAAAAGAAGCCATTCTACACTCTAACAATTCACACCATATTACTAATGACTATCAGTAATATGTGTGTTAAGTGAGGCCTTCCTCTAGGCCTTGGCCTTTAATACATTAATATGGCTTGATTTAATATATGAGTCTGGAAGACACAGACAACTCAGAGGAAATGGGATCCTGAACGGTTGTTTTTCAGTAATATCCATTGATAAGGAAAGGTCTAGGACAGCAACAGGGCAGCAAAGCACTAAACAGGAAAGGCTAAAGCTAAAGTTGGGAGACAGTTCCAGATAATACAATGAGGCTTGCCTGAGGGTCAAAAACTTTGGCAAAGATTAGAAATAGGTCCAAGAAATAGGTCCCTCACCTGCTTCTCAAAAAAAATCAGCTTTACTGAAGTAACCACTACTCCAATCATAACATAGAAACTTTCCATCATCACAAAAAAATCCCTCATGCCTCTCAGCAGTCAATCTCCTCCCACTACCCTCTGACCCCTGGCAACCAGTAATTGCTTCCATCACTATAAACTTTGCCTTCTTCTAAAGATTCATATAAATGGAATTACACAGTGTGTAGCCTGTTGTGCCTGGCTTCTTTGACTTAACATGATGCTTTTGATATTCATCCAGGTTGCTGCATGTAACAATGGTTTGTTCTTTTTAACTGTGGAGTAGTATTCTATTAGATATACCACTATTTCTTTATTTAGCAGTTGATAAACTGACTTCTTCCCAGTTTTTGTCTATTATGAATGAAGCTGTTATGAACACTGAGAACAAGTATTTGTGTAGAAAAACGTTTCCCTTTCTCTTATGTAAATACTCCAGGTGTGGAAATGTTGATTCATATGGTAATTATATGTTTAAAATGTAATAAAAAATTGCAAAACTGTTTTCACAAGTGTACCAGCAATGTGTCAGAGTTCAATTTCCTCCACATCCTCCCCAAACACTTAGTATTGTTGGTCTTTTTAGTTTTAGCCATTCTAGTGGATATGTTGTGTAATGGTATCTGACTGTGGTTTTAATTTGCATTACCCCAATAACTAAGATGCTGAATGTCATGGATTGAATTGTGTCCCCCAGTAATGTGTGTCAACTTGGTTAGGCCATGATTCCCAGTACTGTGTGGTTGTCCTCCATTTTGTGATTGATAAAATTTTCCTATATGCTGTAAATCCTAATCTCTGCCTGTGGTTAGTAAAGCAAGACTGGATTATGTTGAAGATTACGGTGGGATGTAACACCCTTGCTCAAGTCACATCCCGCATCCAATGTAAAGGGAGTTACCTTGGGTGTGGCCTGCACCACCTTTTATCTTACAAGAGATAAAAGCAAAGGGAAGCAAGCAGAGAGTGGGGGACCTCATTACCATCAAGAAAGCAGCGCTGGGAGCAGAGCATGTCCTTTGGACCCGGGGTCCCTGTGCTGAGAAGCTCCTCGACCAGGGGAAGACTGATGACAAGGACCTTCCTCCAGAGCCGAGAGAGAGAGAAATCCTTCCCCTGGAGCTGATGCCCTGAATTTGGACACCTAGCTACTAGACTGTGAAAAAATAAATTTCTCTTTGTTAAAGCCATCCTCTTGGGGTATTTCTGTTATAGCTGCACTAGATAACCAAGACACTGAGCATCTTTTTAAGTGCTTATTTGTCATTATCTTCTTGGGTAGAATGTCTACTGAAATCTTTTGTCCATTTTTTATTGGATTATTTGTCTTATTATTGAGTTCTAACAGTTCTATACGATTGGGATACCAGTTGTTTTATTTTCTCCCAGTTTGAGAGGCTTGCCTTTTTATTTACTTAATAATGTCTTCTGAAGAACAAGTTTCTAATTTTGATGGTCTAATTTACCAATATTTGTCTTTTAAAAGTCATGCCTTTTATGTCCTATTTAAGAAATCTTTGCGTACCTCAAGATTGCTTTTTAAAGATGTCACTCCATTGTCCAGTGGATTGCAAAGTTTCCAATGAGAAGCTAGCTGTCATTCTTATATTTGTTCCTCTATATTCGTGTCTTTTATTATTATTATTATTATTATGGTTTTAAGATTTTTCTCTTTGTCACTGGTTTTAAGCAACTTGATTATGATGTGTGTTGGTGGAGTTTTCTTAATGTTTCTTCTACTGGGAATTCGTTGAGACTTCTGGTTTTGTGAGTTTATTGTTTTTATCAAATTTGGATAAACTTTGGCCTTCTAATTTTTTTTTTTTTTTCCCTGACCATACCTCACCTTTTGGGGATTACATACAATTGCACATATGTTATATGACTTGATATTGTACTAATGTTGTTTAAGTCTTTCTTCTCCTTGTGTTTCATTCTGGATAATTTTTATTGCTTTATCTTCCATTTTACTGATCATTTATTTTTCAATATTTAATTTGCTATTAATTCCATTTGATGAATATTTTATTTTCATCTCTAGAAGTTTTCATTTTATTTATGTCTGATTATTTCTCCTCATTACATTTCTGTTTTTGTCTACATTCTTAAACATATGGATCATAGTAGTTTGCTACTGCTATACAGCAAATTACCACAAACATGGTGGCTTAACACAACACAAATTTATCATCTCACAGTTCTGTAGGTTACATTCTGAGCATAGTGTGGCTGGGTTCTCTGCTCAGTGTCTCACCAGAATGAAATTAGGGTATCAACTGGGACTGTGATTCTCCTAAGGCTTGGGGTCCTTTCTCAGGCTCACAGGTTTTTGGCAGAATCTATGTCGTTGCAGTTGTATGACTGAGGTCCTGTTTTCTCGGTAGCTGTAGGCTGGGTTTCACTCACAGCTCACAGAAGCTGCCTGCGGTTGCTCTCCACATGGCCCTCACAGGCTGTTCACAAAATGGCCGTTTGCTTTCCTCCATACCACCAGGAGAGCGTTTTTCTAATGCTTCCTTTCTTTTAAAAGGGTTCACCTATTTCTTATGATATTTTTACCATGGCTACCTGATGAAGAAAACAAAGGAGAAAAAACACACAAAAAAATGCCCAGGAAACAAACAACTGTTTTTACCCATTTCTTTGAAACATCAAACCCACTAGAGAAATTGAGTTAAAATCCAGCTGTCAAATGTATCATCATTATAATTAGAATATTTTTGTGCACAGAAATAAATCATTTTAGACAGAAATGGAAAGTATTAGATTTATAAAGAGCCCTGTTGGCGCAGTGGTTAACTGCTTTGTTGTTAACTGAAAGGTCGGCAGTTCAAACCCACAAGCCACTATGCAGAAGAAAGATGCGGCAGTCTGCTTCCGTAAAGATTTACAGCCTTGGAAACCCTATGGGGCAACAGGTATTAGATTTATAGCCTGTGTTTACTCTAAGCCCTTTCATTTTATTCTGACTTAAATGAATTATGGGATGAAGGGGACCATGGAAAAATGATTCATTAAGAAATATATTGATTTTTTAATCCATACATAGTATCTTATCTTCATTTGTAATTTTAAACAAGTTTTTAGGATCAACTGTTTTAAGGAATCACTTTAGTTCTTAGTTAAAAAATACTTTCATTTTCCTTGCTTGTTTTCTTAAGGAAAAATAATAGGAACCTAAAATGATGTGCACTGTACCTTTAGATGATTGTTTGTAACAGCATCATGTAAGGGCAGAATTCCATCTAGATTTTCACTGTTGACATTAGCACCAGCTTTTAATAACTCTACAGTTATATCATTCGATCCCTCACTAGATGCCTCATGAAGTGGTGTCCAACCTAAAAAAAAAAGGGGGTTGGTGGGGGGGAGACATGCTGCTGCTTATAAATCAACTTTCATGTGATCTCCTTATTACTAACTTATTTTTGCATTAACAAAATATATTGATTCACGTGTATATACTAAGTATTGGATACAAAATATTATTGAAAAATATTGCCTTAAAATGTATAAGTTTCATTTTTTAATTTGATCTCATCACAAATATTTATGAACATAAGTGCCATAACAGAAGACTCGCATACATAAAATATAACGGGACCAGAGTAAATACTAACCACGTCAATTTCTTTCAACTCAGATATTAAGATAGAGTAAGATCATGTCTGACTTTGTATTTTTGCATTGTCACATTTGTCTTTAAAATGACAATTTGACTCAAACTTTTTACGTTTTTCCCTCTGGAATTCCTCAGACAAGACTCTTCTGTGCTTGAGCAAAATGTTAGAAGATCTATTTTAAAAATGGAGGTTTAGAATAAAATAAGGGCAAGGATAAAAAAGGCACAGTATAAAGAAAGGAGGAAAGAGATGAGGGGACAGGAAAATGTGGAAAAGTCTGCATTCTCTCCAAAGTTAGGGAATGGAATTAAGGCTTTCAAAGAAAGGGCCTAAATAAAGCTTCCCTTACTCTCCATTCTGTGTAGCCCCTCCCAACGCTAAAAATGTTAAAACTGTTTCAAAATAGAAGTTATTTCAGCAATTCATGAGACACCAAGATAAATTTTACTATTCAGCTAAATAATAATATATTTAAAAGTTAGCAGTAATATATTAGCCAGGATCAAAATTGAGGAGGGTAGTTATGAAATGTATATGTCAGTAAGTTCAAATGATAAAGACAATTAAAAGGACTCAAACCTGCATTATCTTTTAGATTCACATCTGCTCCAGATTCTATTAGTGCTTTCACTAGAGACAAATTTCCTCTTCTGGCAGCCAAATGAAGTCGACTTTCCCCTTTAGCATTTCTCTTATTGATCTCGGCTCTTTTCACTTCTGTAAATTTTCTAGGCAAACCTGAGGGTTCTTTTCTGCCCAATGCTGATTATTATAGTCAGTCCTAGCAAATACATGACAACTTCCTCAAAATATCCTAAGTAGGGTGCACTACACAGAAATATGCATCAATTAATATTGAAAACATAAGGGAAGATGATAAAGGACAAAAGACTTCAATGTATTTTTGAGAACTGGAAAGTGTACTGATGGAGGAGAGGTAACTGACAGAGAGGGGAATGTTCCACCCTAACACCTGCGCAGGGAATCAGACAGCCAGTCTGAACCCAGGCACTCAGCACTTGGGGGCATCAAATACCACGGAGGACAGCACACGTGGAACAGGGCTGGAAACAGGAATATTAATTGAAAGTTGTGAAGATTTTTGTTTTCTTTATGTTGAGGTGTAATCTATACTGAAGGCTGTTATCTATGATCTTCATCAGTAAGCGCTTCAAGTCCTCTTCATTTTTAGCAAGCAAGGTTGTGTTATCTGCATATTGCAGGTTGTTAATGAGTCTTCCTCCAATCCTGTTGCTTGCTTGCTCTGGCTCATCATCAACTGCCCTCCGGTTCTAAGGTCTTGAGCCAGCAGCCTGTCACCTGATCTGCCAACTTTGGGATTTGCCAGCTCTACAGCCCTGGGAGCCAGCAGCTTGTCATCTGATCTGCCAACTTGGGGTTTGCTGGCTCCTGCAGCCCTGTGCCATGTGATCTGCCAACTTTGGGATTCTGGGTTCGTCAGCCCCTGCAGCCACATGAGACAGGAGAAGCCTACAGCCAACGCCTGACCACGGACTTTGGGACTCGTCAGCCTCCATGACAACGTGATCCATTTCCTTGAGCTAATCTCTGTCTCTCTACATGTATACGCTTCACTGGTTTTGCTTCTCTAGAGAACCCAGCCTAAGACATTATGTATATATGTATACGTATATATATATACATGTATATATATATACACATATATTATATAGATGTTTCATATTATGTATACATACATACAGAATATATTTAAAAATTATAAAATATCCAGGATGGTGGGCCTAAAGGTTGCAAGTTTTAATTGAAAAATCTCTCCCAGCATTTCTTACTGTGGACAGTACAAATCCTTCCACCTTGTTTCTGGTGTATTTGTAGCAAAGGCAGCAGGCATGTGACAACAGTCTGGGGCAAAAACTCAAAAACTACTCAATGTTACTGTCATCATAAACTTCTGCAGCATTTAACTGAAAATTTAAAATAACAAAATTGGGCAAAAACTTGAAAGGAAACAAAAGGTACTGGCACTAAACCTCTTCACAAGGTCCACTGTAGTTTGGAATTTGGCATTGCTATTAAGAAGTATGATATGACTGAGAAATACTCAGATTTCTGTTCCTTTGTATGTAACCTGTATTTTTCTCTCAAACCTTTTAGGCTTTTCTCTTTATCTCTGTTCTGAAATTTCACAGTGTGGTGCCTTATTCATTGTACTAGGCACTTGGTAGGTCCTTTCAATATGGAAACTCCTGTCCTTCATTTTGGGCAGTTCTACTCTGTCCTATAGGGTCACTATGAGTTGAAATTGACTTGATGGCAATGGGTTGTCCCTGGGCGGCGTAAGAGGTTTATGCTCATCTACTAACCTAAAGGTTGGTGGTTTGAACCTACCCAGTGGCACTACAGAAATCTGGTTCTGTAAAGACTACAGTGAAGAAAACCATATGGAGCAGTTCTACTCTGTAATACATGGGGTTACTATGAGTTGGATTTGACTCAACAGCTATGGATTTGGTTCTTCATTTGGGAACACTTCTTGCATTATTTCTTTAATGATTTCTTCTCCTGTTTTCACTGTTCTGGATATCCTGGAGTGATCTTCTAATTGTCTTATCTTTTATCTCCTATTTTCCAGCTTTTTCTTTGTCCTTTATAGAAGACTTGTAAAGCTTTATCTACCTACCTATATATATGTATTTTTTTTCTTTTTTTTTAATTGTACTTCAGGTGAAGGTTTACAGAACAAATAGTTTCTCATTAAACAGTAGTACACATATTGTTTTATGACATTGGTTAACAACCCCACGACATGTTATATATATGTATTTTTAATTTCTGCTATTACATTTTTAATATCTAAGAGTTGCTTGTTTTCTGATTGTTTCTTCTATATAATTTTTTTTAAGTTTTAGATTTTTTTCTTATTCTTGCATTGTTTCTGTTTCTTCTGGGTTCTTTTGGCCTGTTCAGTATGCTTCGATGTCTCTTTTATATTGATGTTTTATTCAAATTCTTGCTGATATCTGACTATCTGTTTATATTTAAATGAGAGAAACTAAAATGCTGATTGGAAATCTATGGAGGGTGAGAGGAGAGTGGCAGAACTTAGGGCCTAGTTGAGTTCACTGTTAGGTGACTGGGAGCCTCTGTGTTAGAGAATCCTGTAAGTATCTGGAATTCTTCTTCTCTGGAGCAGTTCAATTTATTTATTAGTTCAATCTAACAAATATTTATTCAGTCACTATGCTCTAAAAAAACACAAATGAGAAAACACTGTCTCTGCTTTAAATGGCTAACAGCCTAGTGGAATGACAGGCATGCAAACAATTACATCAACATGGATTAAGTGCTGCTGCCGTTGTTGTATGCCACTGAGTCAATTCCAACTCATAATGACCCCCTCCCGCCCACCCAGGACAGAGTAGAACTGTCCCATAGGGTTTCCTAGGCTGTAATCTTTACAGCCACCACTTGTCGTACAGTGGTGGCTTGCATGTTGCTGTGATGCTGGAAGCTATGCCACATATGAAAAGGAATGCATCATCAGGATTGGAGGAAGACTCATTAACAACCTATGATATACAGATAATATAACCTTGCTTGCTGAAAGAGGACTTGAACCACTTACTGATGAAGATCGAAAACTACACTTCAACACAAAGAAAACAAAAATACTCACAACTGAACCAACAGGCAACATCATGAGAAATGGAGAAAATACTGAAGTTGTCAAGGATTTCAGTTTACTTGGATCCACAATCAACGCCCATGGAAGCAGCAGTCAAGAAATCAAATGACATACTGTATTGGGCGAACGTGCTGCAAAAGACCTCTTTAAAGTGTTGAAAAGCAAAGATGTCACTTTGAGGACTAAGGTGTGCCCAACCCATGCCATGATATTTTCAATCGCCTCACATGCATGTGAAAGCTGGACAGTGGATAAGGAAGACTGAAGAAAAATTGATGCCTTTGAATTACGGTGTTGGCGAAGAATACTGAATATACCATGGACTGCCAGAAGAAAAAACAAATCTGTCTTGGAAGAAGTACAGCCAGAATGCTCCTTAGAAGTGAGGATGGTGAGACTTTGTCTCACGTACTTTGGACATGTTATCACGATGGACCAGTCTCTGGAGAAGGACATCATGCTTGGTAAAGTAGAAGGTCAGTGAAAAAGAGGAAGACCTTCAATGAAATGGACTGACACAGTGGCTGCAACAATGGGCCCAAACATAGCAATGATTGTGAGGATGGCGCAGGACTAGGGCTGCCATTAATCAGAACTGACTCGACAGCACTTAACAATATCTATGGGAGCAGATTGCCAGGTGTTTTCTCACACAGAGCAGCTAAGCACTTAACCACTGCACTGCCAGGGCTCCTTAAGTGCCACTAGGGAAGTATATTAGTTTATTGTGGCTGCCATAACAAATTACCACAAACTGGGTGGCTTAAAACAGCAGAAATTTATTCTCTCAGTTCTAGAAACCAGAATTCCAAAATCACGGTATTGACAGGGCCGTTTTCCCTCTGGAAGTTCTAGAAGAGAATCCTTCACCGCCACTTTCAGCTTCTGGTGGCTGTTGGCATTCCTTGGCTTCCTTGGTTTGTGGTTACATCACTCCAATCTCTGCCTCTATCTTCACATCTCCTTCTCCTCTGCTGTGTGTCAAATCTCCCTCTCCCATTCTCTTATAAGAACATTTATCACTGGATTTAGGGCCTTCCCAGATAATCCAGGATGATCTCTTGAACCTGAAATTCTTAATTAAATCTGCAAAAACCCTTCTTCCAAGTGGTAACATTCAATCTTTTACCATAAAAGGTAATATTCACAGGTTCTGGGGACTAGGATGTGGTCATATGTTTTTGGTGACCACCATTCAATAGTGACGGGAGGTATCTATACGAGGGGCTTCAGTTTACGTGAGAGGGAGACAACGGAAGAGAATGCCTAATCCAGAATCCTCCCCCACCTCTTACTAACGCAGGGCTGTCGAATCAATTCTGATTCACAGAGACCCTACAGGACAGAGCAGAACTGTCCCATAGGGTTTCTAAGGCTGTAAATCTTACGGAAGTAGACTGCTACATCTTTCTTCCGCAGAGTGGCTGGTGGATTTGAACTGCTGACCCTTCAGTTAGCAGCTGAATGCTTTAACCAGTGCACCACCAGGGCTCCTACCTCTTACTAGGCAGTAGATAAACACAAAGAAACTAGTGGAGCATGCTTCTTCAACTTCTGTTATGTTAAAAGGGCTAGGGGGAAGTTTCTAAGGGATCTGACACAGTTTGCCCCTGGTGACCCTACTCAATAATCCTGTTGCCTCTGCTTTTTATCTCCTCTAAAATAATAAATTAGAAGTCACAGGCAGAAATATAACAAGAATATATCTGAAAACTAATGGATCCTCAAGTGCTGCCTTATAGTAAAAGCATCTGACAGATGTAACTGAAATAATCTATAACTTAGTGAATAACTAAAAAAAAAAAAAAAAAAAAAAACTAAAACAAAACCAGTGTATCTGAAAGTTCAGAAACTCTGATAGAAGAATAGATTGCTGTGTTTGATTGTGTAAATTTTTACCTATACAATTACAGGAATACAAACATTGACTGCAGGTAGCTTTCAACAAATTTTGTCTGTTCTTCCAATTCTGAACTTGGATAGTAATAGGCATGTGAATTTCTGAATCTGATTTTTGTTTTTTCTCCTCACAATTTCTTATAGTGCCTTCCTCTCCATTATTAGTTAATATCTCACCTGAAAAACAAACATTTTGCATGATCAGTGTTGCAAACATGACAAATTCAGACATTTTTAGAGTTTCTGTTCCAAGCTCGATTTTTTTAAAGGGAATGGAAGCCTTTAAAGATGTTTTTATATAACAAACATGAAGTTTTCTAATTGCAATTCTGATGGAATACAGTGAATAGCTGTCAGTGGGACAATCTCCTGCTGTGAAAATGTTCTTAGGATTCCTGATACTAAACAAATGCTATATTAAAAATAAACATAAAAATGCATAGAAATACTGTTTGCTAACTTCTGTCAATACTAATTTAACAACCATCTTTGACTTTCCAAGTAAACACTATCACTTAACCCCTGTCATGGCCCATATGTCCTCACTCTTGTCAGTTTTGGCATTTGCTGAGTGGAAATTCAGTTGGAATGTGCTGTAAGTCGGTCTATAGGAAATGTCTATAAATCAAGAAATATTACTAATACCTGGCTTGGGAGAAATTTTCTTCTCTCCTCTTTGATTAAGTTGTGAGTTATTGATCAATTCTTTATTCATATTGCCAGTGGAATGAAAATCTACGTTACGTATGGTCTTGCTCTCTGAAAGGTCTTGTCTCCTTTTTTCAATTTTAGTTGTCTCTATTACTTGAGAACAAGCAATTGTGGATAAAGGCCCATTTGAATAACTTGCTTTGTGATCTCTGTCAGTGTAATTCCTTTTAATGTCTTGTTGCTCATTCACCTTTTCCACAGTACGTGTATTTGTTTGATTCATTAAAGGAGTTGGTGCTCTGGGGCTATAATCCGGAGGCCTTTTGAATAGTTCCACATGACTAGTCAACTCTGAAGGTTCATGTGTTGAAAGTGTTCTTGTACCAGCCAGGGGAGTTTGGTCAGGATTGCCAGGTGAGTGATCATAAGAAATTCCATACGTATACTGTTCGTAATTTGCAACATGTTGTTCAGAAATGACTGTATTATCTGAATCAGAAAAAGTAACAGCTTCCTGTTGTGGAAGTATGGTTAGGCTGCCTGCTTTTAATGCATTTTCCTGTGAAAAATGGTGCTCAGAAGGTAAAGACTGTTGAAAATATATTTCTTCTCTATTTGTTATATTCTCTTCACAATTATAGTGGATTTTGCAATCTGCAGAACACATAGCCTCTTCAGATGTCACAGTCTTCTCAGTACAGCAGTCACCACCACCACCATCATCATTAATATTTCCCTTTACAACAAATGGGATAGAATTTTCCCACTTATTAAGGTTCTCATCTTTTTGACCTGAGTTACTATTTTCATGAAATTTATAAGGGCTTATGTGCTGTTTTTTGTCAGTGTGAGTGGGCTGGTCTGTAGGAACGAGTGGTAACTTGATTTCTTTATGTAAAGAAAGTCCTGAGAAACAAACTTCAGTTTGGTCAACAGATTCTAATTCCAAGAATTGTACTTCTTGATTATCTGATAAATCTAAGCTCTGAGTATGTGCTTCTTTGGAAATCGAACAAGCCTTGATACTTTTACCTAAGTCATTTGTCAGGCTTGAGAGAGTTGGGCTGGAAGGTTTACATGACTCTTCTGGAAGGCCATCAAGGGTTTCGAGAATATGCTGCTGATGTGGAACCAACCTGTTTATTCTTCTGGAAGAAGTGACAGCTACCGTCTTTCTTGGACTGCAGTCTCCATCATCCATGTGAGTCTTCTTATGTTGTGTGTTTCTTCCTTTATCATTAGACACATTTGTGCTGGGATCTCTGACATTATGTAGATTGTCTTTTCTGAATCCTTTAGAGTGTATTTGGTCAAGAGTTAATAGCTTTTGCTTGGATTTACCAAATTTTGTGTTTTTGGAATCTTTTTGGTAATATTCATATATATCTTCTTTATTTATATATAAACCCTCTTTGCTTCCTTTATCGACTTTTACATGTTCTTGATTCAGTCTGTTGGAATCTTCGTCATTAACAAACGCAACGCAATTTTTAGAACTAAATTTTGGTTTCTATAGAAAAAAATATATATAGTTAGCTTTAATTTTCAGATATAATTCTACACTCAGTTAACTCCAAATTGTTCATAAATTTAACTATTATTCCATCCAGTTTTATAATTTCATCTAACCACAGGTCCTGGTAGAATATATCCAACTAATATTTCAGATAAGTAGAGACTCATTATGTGTACTAATATTTATTTTGTGCTGTACATTTTAGTTCTTTTTTACCAGTATTTTAGCACTATAGGTCTTATTAAACATAATAAAAAAAATTTAACTTACTTATTTTTTTATAGGCTTATTAAGCTAATCAAAGTTTCCTTGTAAAGAAAACTTTACAGAATGCTTTAGAAACACTCCCCTCTTCCAATCGCTATGTAGCTGGAGCTAGAAATAGAAGAGTTTTTTTCTTCCAGTACCTTTGGGAGACTATATGTATGGCAAGACAGAAGGGATTTAAAAACAAGGAGAAGGATATACTCCCAAGTTGGTCTATATAGAAATATTTTTGTGGGCTGGTAAGATTAAAACCAGGATAATGCTTCCTCTCACCCACCAGAACCCAAGCACCAAACGAAGATTATCTGCCCACTATATAAAGTTTGAAGGGATAGAGTGACACCTTTGGCTCTTGTACTATGCTTAGGTCAAAAGAAATTTGACATGGTTGATAAACCTCAAGGCCCATGAAGAGGAGTAAAAAGGAAATGGATACCAATATATTAGTGTGCCAGATATGCTACATTTACTCAATTGCTTCCCAAACTAGCAGCCCAGAACCATCAGATCCTTATGTAATTATTCCAGAGTGTCTTAACAGCAAAAGCGATGTCACTAGTCCTAATGCTTCAACAGTCTTTCTTTTCCCTCTAATCATCTATAAAATAACCAGCAGATGCATTCCTGTAAAAATGTTTATTACTAAACATAGATATACCTTGTGCTGGTGTGTATCCTCTACATCTATTGGGTCAGTGCTATTCCTTGGAGCTGTAAACAAAAATAGAAAAATCAAAGAAAACATACTCTAATGGTCAGACTCTAGATTTCTAAAACCCACACATTCTTTGTCATAAAAGAACCACCAGAATAAATGAAATTATGCAAACATTTTATATTAAAACTGGCACATCTAACATTCCTATAATTTATGATATCTATAAGAAACTAAATACTATCTGGAGAGAGCTGAAAGCACTTATGTAGGAAAAGTGAAATAGATTCTACAAAATGATAAGCAATACCAAGGGTGGGCACTAAACTGAGTATTTTTATTTCCCCCAAGTATACCCAATTCATTCAGTTGATTATGTAGCTGTATAAAGCAAAAAAAAAAAAAAAAAAAAAACTTCCATAATTATTGGATTATCATTAACTAACATGTCTGGTGGAGCCCTGGTGGCACAGTGGTTAAAAGCGTGGCTGCTAACCAAAATGTTGGCAGTTCAAATCTACCAGCTGCTCCTTGGAAACCCTATAGGGCAGTTCCACCCTGTCCTGTAGCATCGCTATGAGTTGGAATCAAGTCAACAGCAATGGGTTTGGTTTGTTTGTTTGTTTGTTTTAGTATGTTTAGTGGCACAGTGGTTGAACACTTGGCTGCTAATCAAAAGCTTGGCCTTTCAAACGCACCAGCTGCTCTGCAGGAGAAAGATGCACCAGTCTGTTTCTGTAAAGATTACAGCCTTGGAAACTCTATGGGGCAATTCTACCATGTCCTACAGGGTCACTATGAGTCAGAACTGACTCAACGGCAATGGGTGGTGGAATATGTCTGCTTAATAAAGTCCTGCATTCTCTTAAAAGCAAGCACATAGACACATGGAAAGACTACTTTGTTTAAAAATAAAATTATTAACCAATGTCATAAAACAACATGTGTACTTCTGTTTCATGAGAAACTATTTGCTCTGTAAGCCTTCACCTCAAGTACAATAAAAAATAAATTAAAAAAATTAAATTAAAAAAAATTACCTAGATAGATAATAAAAGGAAAGTATTTCAGTGTTTCTTTTATTGTCTCCTTTAAATATTGAAGGTGAAATTACAGTTATCTATACATGCATTTGGAGCCCTGGTGGCACAGTGGTTAAGAGCTTGGCTGCTAGCCAAAAGGTCAGCAGTTCAAATCCACCAGCTGCTCGCTGGAAACCCTATAGGGCAGTTCTACTCTGTCCTATAGGGTCGCTATGACTCGGAATTGACTCGACAGCAATAGGTTTGGGTTTTTTTAATTTATGCATTTGGCCATAATCAATCTGATATTGTTGTTGTTAGGTGTTGCCGAGTTTGTTCCGACTCATAGCGACCCTACATACAACAGAATGAAACACTGCCCGGTCCTGCGCCATCCTCACAATCCTTGTTATGCTTGAGCCCATTGTTGCAGCCACTGTGTCAATCCATCTTGTTGAGGGTTTTCCTATTTTTCGCTGGCCCTCTACTTTACCAAGCATGATGTCCTTCTCCAGGGACTGATCCTTCCTGATAACATGCCCAAAGTATGTGAGACACAGTTTCGCCATCCTTGCTTCTAAGAAGTATTCTGGCTGTACTTCCAAGACAGATCTCTTCATTCTTTTTGCAGTCCATAGTATACCCAATATTCTTCACCAACACCACAATTCAAAGGCATCAATTCTTCCATCTTCCTTATTCATCGTCCAGCTTTCACATACATAGGAGGCAACTGAAAACACAATGGCTTGGGTCAGGCGCACCTTAGTCTTCAACGTGACATCTTTGCTTTTCAACACTTTAAAGAGGTCTTTTGCAGCAGATCTGCCCAATGCAATGCATCCTCTGATTTCTTGACTGCTGCTTCCATGGGTGTTGATTGTGGATTCAAGTCAAATGAAGTCCTTAACAACTTCGATCTTTTCTCCGTTAATCGTGATGTTGCTTATTGGTCCAGTTGTGAAGATTTTTGTTTTCTTTATACTGAGGTGTAATCTATACAGAAGGCTGTGGTCTTTGATCTTCATCAGTAAGTGCTTTAAGTCCTCTTCACTTTCAGCAAGCAGAGTTGTGTCATCTGCATAACGCAGGTTGTTAATGAGTCTTCCTCCAATCCTGATGCCTCCCTCTTCTTCAGATAGTCCAGCTTCTCGGATTACTTGCTCAGCATACAGGCTGAATAGGTATGGTGAAAGGATACAACCCTGATGCACATCTTTCCTTACTTTAAACCACGCAGTATCCCCTTGTTCTGTTCGAAAGACTGCCTCTTGATCTATGTACAGGTTCCTCAAGAGCACAAATTAAGTGTTTTGGAATTCTCATCCTTCTCAATGTTATTCATAATATTATGATCCACACAGTTGAATGCCTTTGCATAGTCAATAAAGCACAGGTAAACATCTTTCTGGTATTCTCTGTTTTCAGCCAGGATCCATCTGACATCAGGAATGATATCCCTGGTTCCACATCCTCTTCTGAATCCGGCTTGAATTTCTGGCAGTTCCCTGTAGATATATTGCTGCAACCACTTTTGAATGATCTTCAGCAAAATTTTACTTGCATGTGATATTAATGATATTGTTCAGTAATGTCCTCATGAGTTGCATCCCCTTTCTTGGGAATAGGCATAAAGATGGATCCCTTCCAGTCATTTGGCCAGGCAGCTGTCTTCCAAATTTTTTGGCATAGACAAGTTAGCACTTTCAGTACTGCATCTGTTTGTTGAAACATCTCAGTTGGTATTCTGTCAATTCCTGGAGCCTTATTTATTGCCAACGCCTTCAGTGCAACTTGGACTTCTTCCTTCTGTACCATCGGTTCCTGATCATACGCTACCTCCTGAAATGGTTGAACATCAACAATTCTTTTTAGTACAGTGACTGTGTATTCCTTCCATCTTTTTTTGATGCTTCCTGTGCCATTTAACATATCCCCGTAAAATCCTTCAATATTGCAACTTGAGGCTTGAATTTTTTCTTCAGTTCTCTCAGCCTGAGAAATGCTGAGCGTATTCTTCCCTTTTGGTTTCTTACCTCCAGGTCTCTGCATATGCCATTATAATACTTTACTTTGTCTTCTTGAGCCGCCCATTGAAATCTTTTGCTCAGCTCTTTTACTTCATCATTTCTTCCTTTCACATAGCTACTCATGTTCAAGAGCAAGTTTCAGAGTCTCTTCTGACATCCATTTTGGTCTTTTCTTTCTTTCCTGTCTAATGACCTCTTCCTTTCTTCATGTATGGTGTCCTTGATGTCATTCCACAACTTGTCTGGTCTTCAGTCATTAGTGTGCAATGTTGTCAAATCTATTCTTGAGATGAGTCTCTAAATTCAGGTGGGCTATACTCAAGGTTGTACTTTGGCTCTCACGGACTTGTTCTAATTTTCTTCAGCTTCAATTTGATCTTGCATCAGCAACTGATGGTCTGTTCCAGTCTGCCCGTGACCTTGTTCTGACTGATGATATGGAGCCCTTCCATCATCTCTTTCCACAGATGTAGTTGATCTGATTCCTGTGTATTCCAGCTGGTGAGGTCTACATGTATAGTTGCCGTTTATGTTGGTGAAAAAGGTATTTGCAACAAAGAAGTCATTTGGTCTTGCAAAATTCTATCATGCGATCTCTGGCATCATTTCTATCACCAAGGCCATATTTTCTAACTACTGATCCTTATTCTTTGTTTCCAACTTTCACATTCCAATCACCAGTAATTATCAATGAATCTTGATTGCATGCTTGATAAATTTCAGACTGCAGAAGTTGGTAAAAATATTCAATTTCTTCATCTTTGGTCTTAGGGGTTGATGTGTAAATTGGAATAATAGTCATATTGACTAGTCTTCCTTGTAGGCAAATAGATATTATCCTATCACTGACAGCATTGTACTTCAGGATAGATCTTGAAATGTTCTTTTTGATGATTAATGCAACTCCATTCCTCTTCCAGTTGTCATTCCCGGCATAGTAGACCATATGACTGTCAGATTCAAAAGGGCCAATGCCAGTCCATTTCAGCTCACTAATGCCTAGGATATCGATGTTTATGCATTCCATTTCATTTTTGACAACTTCCAATTTTCCTAGATTAATACTTCGTCCATTCCACATCCTGATTATTAATGAACGTCTGCAGCTGTTTCTTCTCATTTTGAGTTGTGCCAGATCAGCAAATGATGGTCCCGAATGCTTGACCGCACCCATGTCATTAAGGTTGACTCTACTTTGAGGAGGCAGCTCTTCCTCAGTCATATTTTGATTGCCTTCTAACCTGAAGGGCTCATCTTCCAGCACTATATCAGACAATGTTCCACTCCTATTCAAAAGGTTTTCACTGGCTAATTCTTTTCAGAAGTAGACCACCAGGTCCTTCTCCCTCGTCTGTCTTAGTCTGGAAGCTCAGCTGAAACCTGTCCACCATGGGTGACCCTGCTGTTATTTGAATACCAGTGGCATAGCTTCCAGCATCACAGCAACACGCAAGCCCCCACAGTACGACAGACTGACAGACGTGAGGGGGATCAATTTGATAGAGGAAAGAAAAAATTAATGAACATCTGAGATGGGATATATAAAGAATAGAAATCTCCTTAAAGAAATTATGAGCTAGAAATATAAAATACTCTAACAAGAATGTAATTGGAAAAGAGAGCAATTCAACTTATTTCTTCAAAATAATTTTCATGATACCAATCAAATTACCATGAGCAAAATGAGGTCTGCCATTCAACCTCACACATTCATACAGACTCAGGTCAAGGTAAAGAAGCCATCATAGTAAACCCACTATGGGCGGAAAGTGGTTTTCAGGTGAGGGAAGGGATACAGAATTCCTTCTATCAAGCAAAGGGGATGGGAGCACAGTCTTTGGAGCCTCACTCCTTAGTTTCAGTCTTGACTCATCTGTTCACCTGCTGGGTGACCTTGGACAAGTTTCTTAATGTCTCTGCCTCAGCTCGATAAAATGAAGCTAAAAATAGCCCCTACTTTATAGAATTGTTATAAAGATTAAAATAGATAACCCATGTAAAGAGTTTAGAGAAATTCCTGGCACACAGAAAGTTGTCCATTATTATTGTTGATATTGTTATATATTTTCTAAGGGCATAAAGGACTCTATCTTCTCCACACTTCGGTTCTTAAAAGAAAGAGCAGAGAAATAATACTTTCTAGGAACTACCCTGTTGGTCATAGTTCCTAAGAGAATCTGGAAGCAAGAAAGGAGCTTTTATTTCCTTTCAGTTTTAAGACTGCACATTCCCTATTATAACCTACCACCCCCCGCAAAAAAAGCACAGATATAAATTCTAAAAGTGGTTGAGTTTTGATAATGTAGCCGCATTCTTCCCCATCATTTTGAGCTCCTACCATGTGTCAGGCACTGTGCTGACGCATTTTACATACATTAACTCCATTTCTGACACTAACAATCCCATAGATACATAGGTAAATGAGTAGATACTATAAGCCTAAAGTTACAGATAAGAAAACTGGAGATGTTAATATGTCCAAACCATCTGCTAAAACATAATAATGCAGCCCAGCTTGGTAAATTACCTCACAAAGAAAGAGTGGGACCTAAGTCCTAAGAAGAAAGGCTCCAGATTCCTTTCCATGAAGGAAAATCCCTTGGGTAGGAATTAAGTCAGAAGAGGACACTGGTGAACAGGAGATTTTGCATTTAGAGAAAAGGCTAAAATGCTGGAGAAGGCACTTCTGGAAGAACAAAGCAATGCATGACATCATAAAATAGAGAAGTCAAGCAATTAAGCAGCTCATAAAAGCAAAAATTAAAACATATATATCTATGTACTTTTGTCTCTGACTTAACAGTCTATGTGCAATTTTTCATTAGCCTGAAATGTAAGTATGATTGTTTCAATAATCTATTTCAGTGTGCTTTTTTATAGATTTATAGACCTGGCGTCATCAAGGTACTGTCTGTTCTTCTGATGTGACTGGGTTACTAGAGAGGAAGTCTTTTACTCTAAAGAATCATTAATTAGTTCTCTCTTAGGCAGCCTGGTTGCACAGTGGTTAAGAGCTCAGGCTGCTAACCAAAAGGTTGGCAGTTTAAATCCATCAGCCGCTCCTTGGAAACCCTATGGGGCAGTTCTACTCTGTGATACAGGGTTGCTATGAGGTGGCATTGACTTGATGGCAACAAGTTTGGTTTGGTTTGGTTTTTGGTGGCCTGTAATTATTAAGGAAGTTTTCTCTTCATTATAAAAGTAGGGAAGAGAATGTTTTGATCCAGGTCTTAGCCCTTAATGTCATTCAAACAATTACCTTCCTTGAGTCCAGCAAGTAGTTTATTTAAAAAATAAGTAGGTATAAAATAATAAAATGAATCCATTAGCCATAAAGGGAAAACTAGTCTCATGACTCTATAGTCAGATTGCTATACTGCAGCTAGTTTTCAATAACAGATACATCCAACAATAGCTGGAATAACTCTTACATTAAAGAAAACCCAGTTGGGAAGGCAATGTATTTTAAATTTCATTTAAGTCAATTTAGATCATAAAAAAATCTTTTCTAATAGACTTATCAAATTACAGCTTTAGATAAACTAGACTAGAACCCCTTGGGTTAGCGTTGACACTCATTAACTATGTGATATCTGTCCTGTTATCCTCTTGGACATAAAAAAGTCTTGTGTTAAGTAGTTCTTTTATGTATCCTTATAATGCCCTGAGCATTTCTTTATCTCACTCTTCATTGAAATTGTTTGCCATCTCTGCTTCTTATTTATCTTTTGTCCTTAGGCTCTAGCACTACATCGTGCTTGACACACAGCAGGACCTGAATGAATGACTGTAGTGGACATTTGTTGTTTTGCCTGCCTACCACTCATTTTCTGATAGGCAGCTCTCAGAAGACAGGGTCCATTAGTTCTTACTACCTAGATTCCTGAAGCTGCTTTTACTCCTGACTTTTCCAAGGCATGGATCTTCAGTTTTTCCTTTAATTCTTCAGCTGTCCTGCCAAGAAATACCCTTTTCTACCTAAGCTGACTGCTTGCCACCAAAGGACTCTTAAATGATAATGCAGGTATAGCCGTATTATTTGTCCTCAGGGAGACTCAGTGCTTCAGCAGAAGACGGGCTAACTTTGATTCTGACTGGAGAAAATTCCCGGGCTTGTAGAGAGGCCCACTCACTTTATGTCTGGAAGGACTCAGATCATACTTTCACGTGCAAAGAAGTAATTCAAAGGGTAGAAACCTCTGTTGTTAAAGATGTTGTTGATGTTAGGTGCAGACAAGTTGGTGCTGACTCATAGTGACCCTGTGTAGAACAGAAGGAAACACTCCCTGGACCCTCCAGGGGAGAAATACCTCCTGGGGAAATTTTATTAAAATATAGTTTAATAAAAGTAAATGAAACACACACACATCTTGAATTGAAAGAATTTGTTTTTCTGTTTTGTTTTACAGAACTGACATACTCATTTATTCAATAAATACTTACTGAATGTCTATGTACCAGGCACTTTAGCAGTCATCTGTAAACAAAGACTAAGGTCTGTCAACGACCATGTGAGTGAAGTTTGAAAGTAGATTTTCCTGCCCTAGTCCGAGTCTTGAGATGAATGCAGCCCTTGCAAACAGCTTTACTGCAATCTTGTGATAGACTCTCATCCAGAACCACTCAGCGAAACCGCTCCCAGATTCCTGACCCTCAGAAACTGTGAGGGATAACAAATGTTTGATGCATTAAGTTGCTAAGATTTGGAGTAATTGTTACATAGGAAGAGATAACTAATACAGTGAGAGTGGGAAGGGAGCAAGTTGCCGTAGTAAATAGGGAAGTCTAGGCCATGTCTGGAAGGATGCATTTGAACTAAGACTTGAAGGAGGTGAAGAAAGCATATCTGAGAAACAGAAATGAGGCCAGTGTGTTGGAATTCAAGTAGTGGGGGAAGAGGGTGGTAGCAGAAGAGGTTAACGAGTAGGCACTTGTAGGCCATTGTAGGCCATTGTAAAGATACTGGCTTTTTTTCTAGATGAAATGGAGAACCATTGCAGGGTTTTGAGTAGTGTTGTGATCTTATTTAAAAAAACAAAAACAATTTAACAGATGCAGTAGAAGACTATGAAGAATATGTCATGTATTTAAATCATTTTTATATAATCTTTTTATTGACCACTGCACATCAAGTTCTTTTGTAGTTTAATTTAATGGTGTGATGTGGATGGCAGAGCTAAGGTACTGCCACTAAGAAAAGATTCTTACGGGATGGAAATGAACAATCCTGGGCATATTCATTGAAAAGGATAAAATCAAATATAATTTACATCATATTATGTTATTTAGTCAAAGGATTATGGGTGGAAAAAAAAACCCAGAACACTCGAAAAGGTTTTTTAAGTATCTGCAAGGTACAACTGGAGAAAAGTACATTTAGTGTTTCCTTTCTGTTCTTTTAGATTCCTTCCATTATATGCATTTACAAACAAGTCAGCATACTTTATTAAAGGCAAGGAATGAGGATACCACTGAATAAATTTTCTCAAAACATATGAGGAAAATAAATTTAATTTCTATAACTCTAAATTCAGTTTCTGTAACTCTTTATCAATGTGATAAACAGACAAAACAGGGTAGTTTAATCTTACCCCATATAAGACGTTTTTGATGTTTAGGAACATATCTCTCAAGGAGACGCTTCATACACAAATGCTTGGCTTCATCCAAAGCACACTTTCCACTGTCACTTCTAAGTAATGGATCAGCTCCACTCAAGAGAAGTAACTCCGCCACCTAGAGGAAGAATGTTCCTGTTAGGGAGCTCGGAAAAAAGGTATATTATTGTAAGTGTGAGTTTGCATACAATTGTAGGTAGCATCGAATATCTCTTTCAACAACACAGAGTTTGGGTTTACCTATAATATCTTTGTAACTGTATTTTTTATGAATCAGTTGCTATTGATTCATGATTTGTTGATATACAAATTCCTTCTCCTGAAAGAGAGAACAGGGAACACAACAGAGAGTCCCTGATGGTGCAGGAGAAAGGTGGGGTGCAGAACCCAAATTCTAGTAAGAAGACCAGACTTAATGGTCTGAATGAGACTGGAGGAACCCCAGAAAGTGTGGCCCCCATATTCTCTATCAGCCCAGAACTAAAACAATTTCCAAGGCCAACTCTTCAAACAGGGATTGGACTGGACTGTGGGCCATGGAGTGATGCTCGTGAGGAGTGTGCCTCTTGGCTCAAGTAGATACAAGAGACTAAACGGGCGGCTTCTGTCCGGAGGTGAGATGGGAAGGCAGAGAGGGTTAGGAGCTGGCTGAATGGACATGGGCAATCGGGTGGAAACAGGGAGTGTGCTGTCACAGTATGGGGTGAGCAATTAGGGTCACATAACAATGTATGTATAAATTTTTGTATGGGAGACTAACTTGAAATGTAAATTTCATTTAAACTACAACAATAAACAAACAAAAAACCATAAGGTAAAAATAAAAATAAAAGAGAGAAGAGTGTTGCTGCTGCTACTCCTCCTTAGAGTCTCATGGAGAAAACAGTCCATCCTTAATCTGTTACTACTCCTCAAGTAACCTCCTCTATGACACACTTCCTCACTCCACCCCTGCTGCCCCAGAGAAAAATGACTTCTCCCACTTTTCATGTACATATTTTATCATAGTGCCTAATATACTCTGTATTATACCTATTTCTTACATCTCTGTTTCTCCTACCATGTTCTTAAGGGTGAGGACTATGTTTTTCTTTTTAATATATTATTTTTAATAGGAAATTAACGAATATGATTCAAAATACAGAAGGCTGTACATGATATTAAAAAAAAAAAACCTTCCCTCCTCTACCCCTGTCCTCCAACTAATTCATTTTTTCTGAGCCGGCTCCGATTAGTTTCTTCTGAATTTTTCCAGTTAGTCTGGTATGTATACATACATACATATATATGTATATATACTATTTTCTTACACAAGTGGCCATATACTATATCTATTGCTCTGTATCTTGCCTTCCTTTCCCCCTACCAACAACAGACCTTGGAGAATGTTCCATATCAGTGTAGACTGAACTTTCTCATTCCTTTCAGTAGATGAATAATAGTCTATTATATGAATGTAATATAATTTATTTACCAGTACCCTATTGATGGATGTTTAAGTTGCTTACAAGCTTTTGCTACAGATACATGTCTTGATCATGTTTATATTCTCAGTGCCTATTTCAGTCTCTGGCATAGGGTAAAATGTTCAATAAATGTTGTTTAATAAAAGAATGAATGTAGGCCAAGGAGGATATGGAGAGTAGGCTTTAAAGAACATCATACTAAAAGAAGCCCAAGTCTTCATGTCAATGTCTAAGAATCAAAGGGAGAATCTGAATTTCTATAAATTGTATGTACCTAAAAATTAAAGGTATGTACAGAATTCCTTTTCTAAGAAAGCATTCCGGCCTGCTAAAATAGTTTGAATACTTTCTCTAACGTTTGCTATTAACTAGCCTTCCAACTTTTGTGTCATTCACAGATGTGACAGGTATCCTTTCCCCATCACCTTCCTATAATAATAAAAATGATTATAATACATGTACATTACTTAAGCCTTTCAAGAAATTATACATCTCTCTTCTGCAATAGTAAGTAAGAAGTCTCGGGTGTATCTTTTGAGATTACCTTTTAGTAATTTCTGTATTCTAGGTTACATATGGTTTTTTTTGTGTGTGTGTACGAGAGTGAGTGTATGTCTGTTCCTTTTTCATATCAATGTTAATTAATTCTTAAATATTTTATAAGCAATATTTATATGTTGCAAAAAATTATGAAATTATAGAAAAGTATTAAATGGAAAGTAAAAGTTCCTCCCACACCTACTGTGGTAGGTTGAAAAATGCTCCCTGCCCAACAAAATATTCACATACTAACCTCTGGAACCTATAAATGTTACCTTATTTGGAAAAAGGGTCTTTGTAGATGTGATTACGTTAAGAATCTTGAGATGAGAAGACCATCCTGGTGGGCCCTAAATGTCATCATGTGTCGTAAGAGAGAGGCAGAGTGAGATTTCATACACAGACATACACACAGGGTGATGTGAAGGCAGAGGCAGAGACTGGAGTGGTTTGGCCACTAGCCAAGGAATGGTGGCAGCCACGAGAAGCTGAAGAAATAAGAAATGGATTCTCCTCCAAAGCCTCTGGAGGGAGTACAGCCTGCTGACACTTTGATTTGGACCAATGATACTGATTTCATACTTCTGGCCTTCAGAACTGTGAAGGAATAAACTTCTATTGTTTTAAGCCATCTGGTTTGTGGTAATCTGTTACAGCAGCTATAGTAAACTAGTATGGATTTTGGCACTGGGAAGTGGGGTGTTGTTGTAACAAATACCTAAAAATGTGGAAGTGGCTTTGGAATTGGATAATGAGTAGAAGCTAGAATTTTAGGCACATGATAGGAAATACCTCTATTACCTTGAATAGGCTATTGGTAGAAATATGGATGTTAAAAACTCTACCAAAGAAGGCTCAGGAAAAAGTGAGGAACATAGTAGAGAAAGACTGTGTCATTTCAGAGAATAAGTATATCATCATAAACAGGATGTTGGTAGGAATATGAATGTTAAAGGCACTCTTGGTGAAGGCTCAGAAGGAAATGAAGAACATGTATTGGAAACTGTGGAAAAAGAGATCCTTGTTATATTATGGCAGAAACCCTGCTGAATTGTGTTATACAGTTGTGTGGAAAGCAGAACTTGTAAGCAAGGAACTTGGATATTTAGTTGAGATTTCCCAGCAAAGTGTTGAAGAAGGTGCAACCTGGTTTCTTCTCACAGCTTATAGTAAAGTGTGAAAACAAAGAAAAAAATTAAGGGAAGAACTGTTAAGCAAAAAGAAACCAGCACTTGATGATTTGGGAAATTCTCAGCCTATATCCAGATTGGAAAAGATCCTAAAATTAAGAGATTCACTATTAATAAAGAGTGTTTCGGAGAGAAGACCAAGGGTGTGGCTGGACAACTTTTGTTAGTGGTGAAGAGATTAGGCATGTGACTTATGGATCCACTCAACTATCTCAGCAGAAGCCAGGAATAGAGATGGAATTATCCAGGAAAGATCTGTGAAGGACCCTTTTGTCTACTGGCATGAATCTCCATGACATACATGGGAGAACCACAAGTTTTTTGTGAATATAATATCAGCAAAAACACTGCCAGCTTGGACTGAAAGGGACAGAGACAATGAAATGAAGGACTGCCAAAATTCTACAGGCCGGAAACAAACTGATAAAACTACTCAGCTAAAAACATGTGCTACCCTTAAAGAAAACAGAAGGATAACACTGAGGGCAGGGCCTCAGGCCCAGAGCTAGCATTAGTGAAGGCTAACATCTGGGTATGAAACCAATAGAGGAAGACCAGCCAGAAGCTTAATGTGGATATCAGAGAAAGAGACAGTCAAAGAGTCTGATTAAAATCACTGTCATCTGGAAACAGTCCAGAAGACTATGCACATGGCCAAGGCTGTGTTCTCTGAGGAGCAACTGGGGTAGAAACTTCTGAGTTACTAGTCCCTGGCTGAATGAAGGCCAAACTCATAAACTCCCTGAACAGTGAAAGCAGTCTTCAAGCCACACCAGGTCCAACAGCAAAAACAACAACCTTTCTGGTTCAGAACTTGGAGACAGATCTACAGATATTATGCAATTTGAATAGAGAGAAAAAAGAATAAAGAAAAATGAACAGAAACTCAGAGAAATGTGGGACACCATTAAGTCCATCATTATATACATAATAAAAGTCCCAGAAGGAGAGGAAAAAGGGACAGAAAAAAAAAATCTGAAGAAATAATGGATGAAAACTTCCCAAATTTGATGGCAAATACCTACCCAAGAAGCTCAACAAACTCCAAACAGGATAAACGCAAAGGAATACACACTCAGACAGATCACAGTCAAAATGCTGAAAGCCAAAAATAACAAAAATCTTGAAAGCAGGGAGAGAAAAATAACTTATCATTTCAACAGGAACTCCAGTAAGATCAATAGCTGATTTCTCATTAGAGAAAATAGAGGCCAGAAGGCAGTGGGATGCCATAGCCAATGTGCTGAAAGAAAAAAGCTATCAACGAAGAGTCTTATATCCAGCAAACTCTTTCAAAATCGCCTCATGGTGGGTGGTCATCCCTGAACATTTGTGTAGAGGTCTCAGGGGAGAGAATTCTGTGATACATTATTAAAAAATGTAAAACTCCCTAAACTCTCCTAAAGTACTGTTACTACTCTAAGAACAGATATGCACTGCCAGTCTATGCCATGGCAATTTTCCCCACCTCTACTTGTGTTAGGCATTTCTTCTGCAAGTATCTAAGCAGATCTTTCTGAGCTCAGTTGATTAGTCCCCTTTCCCACCCTAGGAGTTTTGAACTTAGGGGCAACTTTCAATACTTGAAATAAACAACAAGGTATCCTCAGCAAGTGCCTCAGCACTGCAATGCAGTGCCTCGATCAGAAAAATGTATAGGAAGCTCAGAGAATATGTGGTTTCTGAGATACACTCATGTGCTGTAATTCATATTATTTAATGTTACCATTTATTGCAGTTACTATTAACCAACTGGTATGAAATTACAGTATTTTGATATTTTAACAAGCAATACAGCTGTGCTGGTGTGTACTGGCTGATCATTAACCCTGGGAGGTTCTCATGTCTTACACTGACTCTGAAAGTGACACCAGTCTCCATAATGCTGCATACCTCCTATGAGGAGTGAACATCATTGTGTAACACTCTATAAAAAGGAAAGGTACTTCTAAATCCTATAAAGCACCATATGAAGAGACATAAAGGGATGTAAGTTTAAAAAATACCATGTGTAACCAAAACATGTTCTATATAGTTATTAAAAGTGATATGTAAAATGGCATCTACCATATCAGGCACACCAAACCCATCACACAGCAATACTTATTACAAACTCTAAGTATTCATTAGCAAAATAAACTGAAACTGAATTTCTGTATGTTCTAAAATTGCTTGGTCCCAGAGATTTTTAACACTTGTAGAATGTAGTGTTTGATCTGTAAACAAAAGCATCACAGTACCTTATAATGTCCACTCATCACAGCATCATGTAGGGGGGTGATCTGGTACCTTCCTTTGATATTTACATCTGCTCCACCTTTTAATAGTTCACTTGCAATCCGATAAAATCCTCCTGCACTAGCTTCATGAAGTGCCGTCCAACCTATCTCACAAAAAGGAAACAGGAGTTGTTTATATTTGGCATCTTAATAATATTTTGTGTTTGGTTTTAAATTCTAGGTTGTTTCTTTAAAAATATTACGAACATATAAGACAGGATAATCTCATCATGAAAGAACCTTTCATAATTTGGTGGGTTCAATAATCTGAGGGACAAATCAAATTCCCCGACTCCCAACTTTGTTATGGAAAACTATGTAAAAAATAAAATATTTGAACTTATTTTTCATCTTGGCAAATGAAAAGGTTGTAAGATTATCATTATCAGCCCACTGAGAATGCTAGTTGTAGGCTGCTTTTCCGCAGAGAATAGGGGGGAGAAAAAGCCTTATTTCTAGCTCAGGGTACTTCCATTGAAGTGTGTCAGCTTGCGGGACTACATAGAAGTCAGTTCAAATGTATGTATCTCTTTTTCTCCTCATTCACAAAAAGCTATTTACAGAAGTTCAACTAACAAGCCACAAATGGCTCCAAGAAAACCAGTCATTCAGATAAATGTCTTTTCTTTGGTTAGTTAGAGACAATGGTATAATTTGCAGATATTTACTACATTCTAATAAATCATATGATAGATGTTAAGAAAACCTAAAAACGGCATGTTAAAAGTTTATTTTATTAGCCCTTTTCAGAACCTCCTCCATAAACCAGGGTTTCTCAACCTCAGCACTACTGATATTTCGAGCCGGACAATTCTTTGTTGTCTGAGCAGTGTAGGGTGTTTATTAGCACTCCTGGCTTCAACCCACTAGATGCCAGTAGCACCCTTCCCCACTAAGTTGTAACAACCAAAAATGTCTCCAGACATTACTAAATGTCTTACGGTGGCAAAAATTTTTCCAGTTGAGAGCCACTGCCATAAACTGTTAGACAAGTAGTTTCTCCTATAGGATTAATTATAAAGCCTTGGGGAAGAAATGAAGAGCACAGAAAACGGGAAATATATAGTTAACAGAGATCATTTTTCCTCCTTAAAATACATATGGCTGTTTAAAGCAAAAATTATAACATTATGTTTTAGGTTTTATAATGTATGTAGCTATATGTAATAGCTATAGCATAAAGAATGAGAATAAATGGTCCTGTATGTGTGTGCAATGTTTTTACATGTTATGTGAAATATTATAATATTAACTCTAAGAAAACTATGAAACATTAAAGATGTATATTTTAATTAATAGATCAAACACTAAAAAATAATGTGAAGACAAACTAAAATCAAATGAGGCACATAGGAAGCAACGAATAAAATGGTAGTCCTAAATCCAACCATTTATATTAAATGTAAATGACTAGTCACTCCAATAAAAAGGCAGAGATGGTCAGAATAGATGAAAAAAAAAACAAAAAAAAGCAAAACTATGATAAATATAAGAAACATTCTTTTAAATATAAACACACAGGTTGAAAATAAAAATAGAAAAAAGATATACCACATAAACAGTAAACATAAGGAGGCTAAAATGGCTATATTAATATTATATACAGTAGTTCATGACAAGGAGCCCTAGTGGCACAGTGGTTAAGCGCTTGGCTGCTAACCAGAAGATCTGCAGTTCAAACCCACCAGCCACTCTGTGGGAGAAAGATGTAGCAGTACGCTTCCATAAAGATCACAGCCTTGGAAACTATATGGAGCAGTTCTACACTGTCCTGTACGGTTGCTATGAGTAGCAATGAGTTTTTAGACTTCATGACAAAGTGTATTACCAGAGATAAAGAGAGACATTTCAAAATGATAAAAAGGTCAATTTTTCAGGAAGACATGACATTCACAACTGTGTATGTACCTAACAACAGAACTTCAAAACACAAGAAGTAAAATTGACAGAATTAAAGGGAGAAATAAGACACCTCCACAATTACAGTGGTGGAGATTTTAACACTCCTCTCAGAAAATGACAGACCAACTAGACAAAAAATCAGGAAACATATAGACACTGTGAACAACATAATCAACTATCTTCATCTAACTGCCATTTATAGAACACTGTATCCAACAACTGAAGAAAAAACATTCTTTTGAAGTGTACACAGAATATTCACCAAGACAGACATATACTGGACAATAAACCAATTTTCAATGAATGTAAAAGTGTAAAAGGATCAGAATCATACAAAGTATAGTCTCTGACTGAAATGTAATTAAATTAGAAATCAATAACAGAAATATACCTGGAGAATCCCCAAATACTTAGAAATTAACAATATATTTCTAAAAATCCTGGGTAAAAGAAGAAATTATAAGAGAAATTAAAAATATTTCAAACTGAATAATAATGAACATACAATATATCAAAATCTGTGTGATACAATTAAAGCAGTACTTAGTGGGATATTTAAAGCTATAAATGCTTATATTAGTAAAAAAGGTACAAAAATCAGTTACCTTAGTTTCCACTTTAAGAAGCTAGAAAAAGAACAAAATAAACTGAAAATAAGTCAGAAAAAAAGCAAGAATCTGTAACAGAAAACAGATTAATAATAGAGAAAACTAAAAAAGTCATAAGTTAGTTCTTGAAAAAAAAAAGCAATAAAATTGATAATCCCCTAGTTTAGACTAATCAAGAGGAAGGAAGGAAAAAATGAAAGAAAAAAAGGGAGGAAACAAATTAGCAGTGAGGGGAAGCCAGCACAACTTGTTCAGGGTAACGTCATGGAAGCTCCATGGACAAATCCAAATTCTCTTAGGGACTGAATTGCTGGGCTGAGGGCTGTGGCGACCATGGTCTCAGGGAACATCTAGCTCAATTGGCATAACATAGTTTATAAAGAAAATGTTCTACATTCTACTTTGGTGAGTAGCTCTGGGGTCTTAAAAGCCTGTGAGTGGCTATCTAAGATACTCCACTGGTCTCACTCCCTCAGGAGCAAGGGAAAATGAAAACAAAAGACAAGGGAAAGACTAGTCCTAAGGACTCCACAACTACTACGGCCTCCACCAGACTTAGTCCAGTACAACTAGATGGTGCCCAGCTACCACCACTGACTGCTGTGACAAGGATCATAACAGAGGTTCTAGGGCAAAGCAGGAGAAAAATATAGAACAAAATTCTAACTCAAAAAAAGAGACCAGACTTGCTGGCCTGACAGAGACTGGAGAAACCCCAACAGTATGACCCTCGGATATCCTTTTAGCCCAGTAATGAAGTCACTCCAGAGGTTCACCTTTTAGCCAAAGATCAGACAGACCCATAGGACAAAACGAGACTAAAGGGGCACACCAGCCCAGGGGCAAGGACTAGAAGGCAGGAGGGTACAGGAAATCTGGTAATAGGGAACCCAAGGTCAAGAAGAGAGAGTACTGACATGTCATGGGGTTGTTAACCAATGCCATAAAATAATGTATGTACTGTTCAATAAGAAGCTAGTTTGTTCTGTAAACCTTCATCTAAAGTTCAATTAAAAAAATTAAAAATTAAAAAAACATATATATATCCCCACTGAGCTACAGACATTAAAGGTTAACAGGAAACTATTATAAGTAACTTTGGACAATCAATTTGACAACTTAGATGAAAAGGACTGCCTTAGTTACCTAATGCTACTATAACAGAAATACCACAAGTGGATGGCTTTAATAAACAGAAATTTATTCTCTCACAGTCTAGGAGGCTAGAAGTCCGAATCCTGGACACCAGCTCCAGGTGGCTCTGGGGAAAGGTCTTTGTCATCAACCTTGCCCTGGTCTAGGAGTTGCAGGGACCCCGGGTCCAAAGGAAGTGCTCTGCTCCTGGCTCTTCTTTCTTGGTGGTAGGAGTTCCTTGTCCTGTCTGCTTGCTTCTCTCTTTTATATCTCAAAAGAGACTGACTCAAGGTAAAACCTAATGGGGTAGATTGAGTCCTGCTTCATTAACATAACTGCCCCTAATCCTTCCTCATTAACATCATAAAAAAACTCCTGCTGTTGTTTACAACACATAGGATAATTACATCAGATGACAAAATGGAGGACAATCACACAATAGTGGTAATCACAGCCTAGCCAAGTTGACATGCATTTTTGGGGGACACAATTCAATCCATAATAAGGACAAACTCCTTGAAAAACAAAACTTATCAAAACAGACACAAGATGAAACAGAAAATCTCAATAGCCAACATCTATTAAAGGACTTGAATTTATTATCAAAACCTTCCCATAAAGAAAACTACAGGCCCAGATGGTTTTACTCCTCAACTCCGTCACACATTTAAGGAAGAAAAAAAAATCCAATCTTACACAAACTCATTTAGAAAATAAGAGAGAACACTTCTTAACTCATTTTAGGAGGCCTGCATAACCCTAATACCAAAACCAAATACATTACAAGATAAGAAAATTATGGACCGATATTACTCATGAACATAGATACAAAAACATCCTGAACAAAATATTAACAAATTCTGATACCAAAACCAGACAAAAGCATTATTACCAAAAAAAAAGGAAGAAAATACTCTCCAATATTACTCATGAACACAGATGTAAAACTCCTTAAATTGTTAGCAAACCAAATTCAGCAATATATAAAAAGGATGACCAAGTACAGTTTATCCAGGGAATGCAAGGTTGTTTAACATTTGAAAATCAATCGATTTAATTTACCATATTAACACAATAAAGGAGAAAAATTATATGGCCATTTAAGTAGATATAGAAAAAGCATATGACAAAAACCATCATCTATTCCTGAAAAAAACTCTTGGCAAATTAGGAATATAAAGGAACTTCCTCAATCCCTGGGTGCAGCAAACAGTTATGTGCTCAGGGGTACTAACTAAAAGTTTGGTGGCTTGAATCCACCCAGAGGTACACTGGAAGAAAAGCCTGGTGATATACTTCCAAAAAAACCAGCCATTGAAAATCCTCTGAAGCACAGTTCCACTCTATCACATAGGCCACAATCAGTTGGAAGTGACTCAATGGCAACTGGTTTTTCTTCAGTCTTATAAAAGAAAAACCAAACCAAACCCACTGTGGAGTTGATTCCAACTCACAGCAACCCTACAATATCTACAACAAACACCTATAGCTAACATCATGCTAAATGGTGAACTATGCTGAAATATGGTGGCTGACCTGGGTATGAGATTTAGAATAATAGCCTGTTAAAACCCTGTTTGTAGTGTAAACCTAGGCCTTGCTAAAGTAAGTACAGGTAGTTCTCAACCTTCGACAGCGTTCTGTTCTGAGTCGATTCTGACATAAGTCGAATACCTAATTTTTTTTTTTTTTTACTTTTTATTATTTTGCCTTTTATTATCAGTATCTTTATAAATTTGATCTTTATTTGGCTTTGGGGGTTGGAAACATTACATATAAACTTGCAGATATGGTTTACACATACATACATAAAAAAATATACAAATCATAAAAATTTACTCTGACAATGAAGAGTTGAACATTGGCGTTTTGTCAGCTGCAGTAATAACTCCATCTGGATCATCCCTAGGAATGGGGATGGTGTTCCTAGAGAGTTGTCTGTATGATCCTTTTCTTTTTTTCTCCATATATTTCATAGTACCATCTCACTGCTTCCAGAATCTGCCTATTGACTTTAGCAAAGCAATCAGCATTTGGGTCCATGTTTTCAAGCAACTGAAGCACCTGATTTAGTTTAGAAAAAACTTCAGCTAATCCTTTCATTGTAAAATTTTTTGACAACTTTTTTCCTTCCTCATTATTTCTTTCTTCTTCAGCATTTTTCTCTTTAAAATCCATTAAGTCCTGGTGTGTCAGTTCTCCTTCTTCACGCTCTATGAGCTGTTCGACATCCACGATACCAACACTCGGCTTCAAATTAACAACAGATGCTTCTGAAGATACGAAAATGCCGAATAAGATCACACCATAGGCCTGGTCTACAATGAAGTTGGCGTCAGTGTCATTAACAATGAAATTGGAGTTAGGTGACAGCTGTCGGGCAAATGTGTAGTTCAACTGTCGTATGTTGTTAGAGCTGAACACTGCCCAACTTCTATCCTTTACGACTCCTGACACTGACTTCACTGTAGACCAGGCAATAGCTTGCTATATGGCAGTGTTTAGAACAGTAAATTATAACACTGAACATCTGTGAGTGAGCATCTGAGAATGATAAATAACATCAGCAAATTACGTGCTGCAACACTGCATGTAGTACATATTACTATCCGTAAGATGTACAAAAAAAAAACAGTCGTAAGTGCAGCTCATCATAACTCAAACATGCCTTAAGTCGGGGACTACCTGTACTGGGGGTGCACTTGTAATCACAAGCTTGTCCATGGACTGTGCTGTGTAATCTCTGCATACTGTAAGATTTACTACACTGATTGATAAACTGAGAAAGTTTAGAAACAATAGGAAAAATCCGAATACAGGCAGTCCCCAGGTTACAAAGGAGATCCATTTCTAATTCTGTCTTAAAGTCATATTGGTAGGTAAGTCAGAACAGGTACATACGGTTCTTACTCAGTGTCAGTCAAATGTCTGTCTTAGTATATAGCATATATTTTACCTTTCTATGCATATAAAACACTTAAGAAACTCTTAAGTTCAAGCCATTGTATTTAACTCAAAATTTTTAATATAATAGGCTTTACAGTAGTCCGTTTTTAAGTACAAGTTGTCCGTAAGCCCTACGTTCATAACCTGGGGACTGCCTGTACCCAAAAGCACCATCCAGGCTGGCCCAGCACTGCTGAGCACCTTAAATGTTTAAATGCCTTTAAGGAATCACTCCTCTCCAGGAGAACATGTCAGGCTCCCCTGACAAGGAAGGTTGCAGGAGAGATCCAGGGTTTGCAGGCTACTCTTTCGAAGCCCCCTGCCCCACCCTCTCTACCTCATACTCTATTATCTCCACTTCCCTGGCCATTGCTCCTGCTGTATATCTACCGTTTTATCATCAACTGGCCCCTGTAGCTCAGTGTACCATCAGCCTCTTTCAGCTTCTGACTTCATTTCTTTCCCTTGGCTTACTACATCCAAGGTTGAGTCTCACAGTATAACAATGCCTATGCAAAGCTAGTCCCAGGAACCTCCCTTCTGTGTAATGCCACGACACATGGCCCACCTTATGGACCCCAGGCAGGCATACTCTTCGAAGGAGAAATATGTTCTATTCCCCTCTTCCCCCACTACCTTGCCCACTTTCCTGGGAGATGATAGTAAAGAGCTATCTAAGCAGGAAACTTAGTTGAAAGCTTTCCGTTTGGGGTTTGCCTTAGGCCAATTTTGCTGTACTTTCATAGGACTTAGCTGAAACTACAAACTAGTCTCATGATAACTATGGGTGGTAACCCCAACTTACCAGCGTAACTTGGCTGATTTACATTTCCACCTTTTTTTATACAATGATGAACAAGATCAACATCATTTTGCAGAGCAGCCCTGTACAGTAAGTTCTCTCCAAAAATGTTTTTCCGGTTAATACTAGAAAGAGACATCTTATTCATCTTCATTTTTTCTGAAATGGAAGAATGCGCAAAACAAAACAAAGCAATCCTTATTTGAAAATCAGGAGGAATAGAAGTAACAGGGTGGGTCCACACAGCACTTTGGAAGTGAGATATATTATATAATTAAAGACTATTTCATTCATTAACCCAACTACAAAATATATAATACATATATAACATAATAAAATATATATATAAAGCATACAAAAAGGTTAGGTAATGACATTTGTCTCTTTCAAAAATATTTGTAGTAAATTATAAATCATGATAAAACAGTTTATGTTGATTGAAACCCAATGAAAGGTGCATATGTGAGAAAACAGATTATTATCTTAAAAGTTCTGGTGAAAAGTTATTATTTAAATCCAGATACTTAATAAAATGGTATAATATCAAAATGTCTTATAAAACCACAAGGAGAAAACTGTCAGAGGCTTATAAAGAAGATACAAAAACTAACCCCAGCAAGACCAAAAAGGGAATGCTAAATTTTCCTCCTTTGCTAAAAATAATTGTTATGAAATTAAATAAAGAACCATGACCTTGATCTGTACACTAGTTTTGATTTCCTAAGCCAGGAAACGCATGATCAAAATAATTTTCCGGATGATGCATACTAAGTATGCCTCCTAGAAGAACACTGAGGCTTCTCATTTAGATGCTCCACAGCTTGTCAATTTTTGTGGACAATACTCATCTGGTTATTTTGAATTTCAGAATAGCTTTTCCAGTTTTGATCTAGCTAACCTACCCCATCCTAAAACCTCACAAAGGCAACTGAGTACTGCAGAAGCTTTCTTAATGGACCAGGATTTAACTGCTTTGCCTTTTATTTAACTCCTTCTACTCAGTCCCACTGTAAAAAAAAAAATCAGCTGCTGAACATTTGAGCCTACCTTCTACCACCTCAGGCTACAGAGCATTCTGTTCCCACCAGATAAGTTCCATCAGTAGTCTCTACTCACAAATCTGTCTGTGCTAGTTGTACTTGCTATTGTTAACTATGTAATTTATTAAAAATAACAAACTAAGAAGCACAGTCTACAAAAATTTTCAATGAAAACTAAGTTGCAGAAGACATTGACTTTTAACTATGACTAAATAACTGCCCTGACTTGCCCTCCCACTATAAATAACTAGAACACTATACAAAATACATGGGGGGAAAACCTTATTTTCAGACACTGGAAAACAAGCATTTCAGATTTATGACCCCTGAGTGAAGAGAAACAAATGAGGTAAGGGCTATGATCACCACGGATAACCCAAGCACAGCAAGGTGATCCAGCTGGTCTGAGGAGACAGAGATCAGAGTTTGGGGAGGCAGTAGCAGCTAGAATTTGCAGAGCATGGCACCAGAGATAAGAGAGTAGATAAAAAGACACCACAAATCTATGTAAGGGGTTTCTTGAGTCATTATCTGAATACTGAACTGCTCATGTGTTAAGGTTAAGTCTCCATGCAGCTGGCAAAAACAACTACCAAGAAACTATAAATTAACAGGATAAAGTCTCAGTTATGCTATTAACTAGCTGTGTGATGTTGCAAAAAATCCTTAACTTCAGTTTCCTCATCAGTGTGTTGAGGAAGTCGAGACAGATAACCTCTGAATCCTTTCTAGTACCAGAATTCTATGGTTCTGTAAGTTATTTACATAAAGAAATAAAAAAATACTCAAAATATGCCTCACCATTTTTTGCTGCAAATTTTTTGTTTTTCCTGATCTGTTCTCCACTCTTGAGTCTAAATGAATGCACATTCTTCCCTTCACCTTTAGTCATTAAAGCAGAATCCTGCATGCTTGAAAAATAAATGTTTTTAAAATTACTATAATGTTCTCTACAAACATTCATTCAGGATCATACCAAATTTTGACTAAAATTTTAAAACTCAAAGGTATTTTATTGAGTCGCTTTCATGTGGCATGGCAGTTTTAAACATAGAGATGGCTCCTGGGTAACTGCAGGTAATTCTTTGACAGGTATGCCAATCACTATGGCTTCCAGCCTTCTCTTTGTGCCACCTGTGGGTTTCTCTCCTCTGGGGACAGTCACCTACAAGTGTGAGCATTCTGAGACTCCTGCCCACCCTCCCAAATTGGCATGCTACCATCCACTCCATTCATCTCCTAGGGAAAAAAGTGGCAGGCTCCTTTTAAAGTAAAAAGGTTTGACATATGGTATGGCACTGATCAAAAACTGCAGAAATAAATACCCAAAACCAAAAAAACCAAACCCATGGCTGTTCCGTCTATTCTGACTCATACTGACCCTATAGAATACAGCAGAACTGCCCTACAGGGTTTCCAAGGCTGAAATTTTTATGGAAGCAGACTGCCACGTCTTTCTCCCGCAGAGCGGCTGGTGGGTTCAAACCACTGACCCTTTGTTTAGCAGCCAAGCGCTTAACCACCGCACCACCAGGGCTCCTTTGCAGAAATAAATAAAGCACCTAAAACTAAAAAAACCCTTGGGTGGCAAAACAGTTAAGCACTTGACTACTAACCAAAAGGTTGGCAGTTTGAACCCACCAAGAACCATCTTGAAGACAGGCCTGGTGATCTGCTTTCAAAAGGTCACAGCCTTGAAAACCCTATGGAGCAGTTCTACTCAGCACACATGGGGTCATCATGAGTCAAAATCGACTCGATGGCAATTGGTTTGCTTTTGGTTTTGGTACACTGACCATGTGTCTCCAAGCACAGAATTATCTACAAGGTCTTTAGCATTATCTGGAGAGAAAGATATAATTTAATAATATACCTGGAATCCTTAGTTAAAGATCTGCTATTTGTTTGACGCTCACAGCTAAGTATTTTTGGTAAAATTTTTTCTGGAATCTTACACACATCATCTGTATGCTTTCCAGCTTTGTCTACTTTCATTTTTTTCAGTCTCGATGATCTCCTTAACACACATGGAGTTTCTTGATCAGGGATATTTTCCACTGGATTTGAATCCCCCTTATTATTTAGTTGATTGCAAGAGGTGGCATTTTGATGAGCCAAAGTTTGCAATCCAAATGGATCTGGGCCTTCTGGAGTCTGTAATAAGATGTAAATACAACCACAAATAATAACAACACTGCAAAAAATGTAAAACTAGAAGAAATTAAGTCTTGTCTGGCACCTCTGATTAAAGTAAATGCCTCTTATAAGATGTAAGTCTAAGAATTCACAGACACATGTGAACACAATGAAAATTTTTACAGTATTAATGCAATAAAGAACAATGTAGACTCAAAAGCCTAAAGTAAGAAGAGCATAAGTAAAAATGATTTTCATCAATATTCATCCTTAAAATTCACGGGCAAAACTGAGGTCACTGTGGGTACTTAAATTTCATAGGAAATAAGCAGTAGGAAAAGATGGGAGATGCATAAAAACATAAGAAATGTCATACTTGGCCAGATCAATTGTCTATTTAGCCTGGTGTTTTCTTATTGACAGTGGCAGTAGGTGATATTTTGTGGGACAAAATAGTACAAAACCTCTACTACACTGGTTTTAAAAGGTTAACAATATATTATGAATGGCTCTAACTTCCCCTTAATAATCTACTACAGATTTAACATTCATAGAGGATATTTATCTTTCATACATATCATCTAATCCTTTCCTGTATTTATATACCCACCTTATAAAGCCTCTCAAGGTAACAAGTTCCATATTTTTACTGTTGTTGTTAGGTGCCATTGACTCAGTTCTGACTCCTAGCGACCCCATGCGCGACAGAACAAAACACTGCCCAGTCCTGCGCCATCCTCACAATCATTGCTGTGATTGAGCCCACTGTTGCAGCCACTGCGTCAATCCATCTCGTTAAGGGTGAAAGAGTGTTTGATTTGCTCTAAATAAATCTTTCTACTTTTCAAAGGGTTTGATTTTTTTGTATTTTCCTTTTTGAAGATTTGCTAAGTTTGTGCTCACTGTAGCAATACCAATCATAATTTCCTATACTTCACTCATATTCCCTCTTTCAGATTAAAATACTGAAACGTTTAATTTATTTTCATGCCATATACCTTTGATCAGGTCAGTTCTCTTTTTCTAGAATTTTTTTTTTTTTTAGTTGTATTATATGTTTTGAGATATATTGACCTGAATTGCATGAAGTATTATTCCAGGTGTGTGTGTTGAAGCACCCAGCACTCGTCTGTCAGTCTGTCGTTCTGTGGTGGCTTGTGTATAGCTGTGACGCCGGAAGCAATGCTACCAGTATTTCAAGTACCAGCAGGGTCACCTCTGGCACACAGGTTTCAGCTGAGCTTCTAGAATAAGACAAACTAGGAAGAAGGACCTGCCAATCTACACTAAAAAAACTGGCTAGTGAAAGCCTTATAAAAAGCAGCACAGCATTGTCTGATATAGTGCTGGAAGATGAGCCCCTCAGGTTTGAAAGGCACTCAAAATACGACTGGGAAAGAGCCGCCTCCTTAAAGTAGAGTCAACCTTAATGATGTGGATGGAGTAAGATTTTTGGGACCTTCATTTGCTGAGGTGACAGGACTCAAAACGAGAAGAAACAGCTGCAAATATCCATTAATAATAGGAACGAGGAATGTAAGAAGTATGAATCTAGAAAAATTGGAAGTCGTCAAAACTGAAATGGAACGCATAAACATCGATATCCTAGGCATTAGTGAGTTGAAATGGACTGGTATCGGCCATTTTGAACTGGACAACCATATGGTCTACTATGCTGGAAAAAACAAATTGAAGAGGAATGGCATTGTGTTCATCATCAAAAAGGACATTTCAACATCTATCCTGAAATACAACATTGTCAGTGATGGCATAATATTCATACACCTACAAGGAAGAACAATATGACTATTATTCAAATTTATGCACCAACCACTAATGCCAAAGAGGAGCAAACTGAAGATTTTCACCAACTTCAACAGTTTGAAATTAATCAAACAGGCAACCAAGATGCATTGATAACTACTGGTGATTGGAATGAAAAAGCTGGAAACAAAGAAGAAGGACTGATAGTTGGAAAATATGGCCTTGGTGACAGAAGTGACACCAGAAATGGCATGACAGAATTTTGCAAGACTAACAAATTCTTCATTGCAAATATCTTTTCTCAATAACATATACAGCGACTATACAAGTGGACCTCACCAGATGGAATACACAGGAATCAAATCGACTACATCTGTGGCAAGAGACGATGGAGAAGCTCAATATCATCAGTTAGAACAAGACGAGAGGGGCGGGGCCTAGATGGTGGAGTAGTCAGACGCCTCCAGTGGTCCCTCTTACAACAAAGACCCGAAAAAACAAGTGAATCAATTGTATATGACAATCTAGGAAGCCTGAACATCAAAGGCAAAGTTGAGGAATCAGACTGAGTGGCTAGGGGAGGGAGAGACACTTCAGAAGCAGCGATGAGTGGCCAGACCTGACCCGGCAAGAGCCTGAGCCCTTCAGGCCAGATCGGCTCGTGGTGCGCGGTGAGGCAGGCAGGCAGCAGCGCTCAGGAGGCATTTTCCACACCAGGACAGACCGAGCAGCAGCGTCTACCAGAACCAGTGAGAAGCAGCCCTCAATGAGCAAAAGATAAGTATTTGTGTCTGGCCTATTGCGTGGATCAAAAACATTCCCCTTTGGGAAAAACCTCTCTCCCATTTACCTCCCCGCTCCCTGCTCTGCACTGGGTCCGGGACCGCCTTTAGCAACTGCCAAGTCCCTTGGGCCAGAAGTAGGAACCGTCACGCGCCCTGAGCCATTCGCCTGGCCTTGGAGAGGGAAGAAATTAACAAACAGGGGAAAAACTAATCTGCCAGGTCCCCTAAGCCAGGAACTCAGGGTAGGCACAGCTCCTTTGCCTAGGAACAGGCATAAAGGGTTCACGGACTTTGAGTACCTTTCCCCCTGCATAGACTTGTGTGGGCCCATTTCAACAGCACAGGTGCTCATTACCACAGTACAACAGGGTATATACCTGAAGTCTAACTTCAACTGTTTCAGCCGTGAAGTGGCAGGTTTCTGACATTTGACACTGCTCTGTCTATTAAGCGGGTCTTCACCTACCTATATGAGGGGCCTAAGGACTGGTGGCTCCACCCAGGCCACCTAGTCACCTGCGACAGGGGCCCAAGAATAAGTGGTGCCCCCTAGTCTTTACAGCCAACAGCACTGGGTACTCATAGGCTGGCTGCAAAATCCATCCACCTAAGTACCCTTGGGAACAGGGAAACGCTTTCCTCCCACACACTCAGGGGCAGCCATTAGTCCCCTGCCTTGCTCAGTGTGTGATCCCCTGCTGCAGCCGGATGCCTGTGCCTACACCAATCACCAATGCCTGTGTAGGACTGTAGGTGAGAGCCTGCACCTCACACTTGGTGGCCAAATGCCTTGACACCTGAGCTGAATCCATACAGGAGTGGGGGGATTTCTGGGCTCACATACTTAGTAGCAGGTCTGGCCACCTGGTGGCAGGACGTTGGAGATTTAGTGGCGCCAGTGATCAGACTAACTCACACAAGCAGCTTATCTGAGCATATTAAAACAAAACAAGAAGCTAGGACATAGTAAGCAAGCATAAAATAAATAAATATAATAACTTACTGATGGCTCAGAGACAACATTCAATACCAAATCACATAAAGAGGCAGACAATGATGGCTTCAGCAAGCTCCCAAAATAAAGAATCAAGGAATTTTCCAGAGGAAGAGAATTTCTTGGAATTACCTGAGGCAGAATACAAAAGATTAACATACAAAACTCTTCAAGAGATCAGGAAGGAGATCAGATAAAATGCAGACCTAGCAATAGAAGAACACATGAAGATTAGAGAAGAGCATAATGACAAATTTGACAGGCTGTGAGAATCCACAGAGAGAAAGCAATCAGAAATACAGAAGATAAACAATAAAATGTCAGAATTAGACAACTCAATGGAAAGTCAGAGGAACAGAACTGAGGCAACGGAAGTCAGATTTTGTGAGACTGAAGATAAAGCACCTGACACCAACTTATTTGAGGAAAAACCAGATAAAAGGATTTAAAACAATGAAGAAACCCTAAGAATTATGTGGGATTCTATCAAGAGGAATAACCTACGAGCAACTGGAGTACCAGAAAAGGAGGGGGAGGGGGCTGATAGAAAATACAGAGAGAATTGTTGAAGATTTGTTGAAAGAAAACTTCCCTGATATCATGAAAGATGAGAATGTATCTATCCAAGATGCTCATCAAACCCCACATAAGGTAGATCCCAAAAGAAAGTCACCAAGACATATGATAATCAAACTTGCCAAAACCAAAGATAAAGAGAGAATTTTAAGAGTGGCTAGGGATAAAGTAAAACTCATCTACAAAGGACAGTCAATAGGAATAAGCTCAGACTACCAAGCAGAAACCATGCAGCCAAGATGGCAATGAGAGGACATACATAAAGCCTTGAAGGAAAAAAATTGCCAGCCAAGAAGTATATATCCAGCAAAACTGTCTCGCAAATATGCTGGTGAAATTAGGGCATTTCCAGATAAACAGAAGTTTAGGGAATTTGCAAAAACCAAACCAAAATTACAAGAAATACTAAAGGGAGTCCCCCGGTTAGAAAGTCAATAACATCAGATAACAACCCAAGACTAGAACACAGGACAGAGCAACCAGATAGCAACCCAAATAGGGAACTCATGAAAATAAATCAAAGCTAAAACACTGAAAACAGGGAAACAGAGATGTCAATATGTAAAACATAACAACATTAAAACAAAAAAGAGGGACTAAAAAATGTAGAAACAGATTTTTCATATGGAGAGGAAGTCAAGGCAATATAAAGAAATAAAAGACTGGTACAAACCTAGAAAGATAGGGGTAAAAATTAAGGTAACCACAAAGGAAACTAACAATCCCACACATCAAAATAAAAAACAAATAAATATAAAGACTCCACAAACACAAAATCAACAACAATGAAAAAGAGGAAAAGAAAATACACTAAGAAAAACGACTCAGCACAGAAAATTAAGTGGAACAAAGAAACTGTCAACAACACACAAAAAAAGACATCAAAATGACGGCACTAA